CCCCGCAGCCTCCTCCTGATGGGGCAGGGGAATTGCTCCGTTGAGGATCAGGCAAGGGGCTTTCTCCATCTGACGTGTCTCACTCATTATCCCGACCACTCGCTTTGTATTTTCTATAAAAACCGGGATTAAAGAGTGGTCAAAGGCATGCCTGCCTGTGGATTGTCTTTGAGGGAGCTTTGCGGAGTGGATGCTGGCACAGTGCAACTTACCCTTCACAGTCTTCCCCATTTAAAGAAGACCTCACCAGCCCCACTCCAGACCCAGAGCCCAGCCAGCTGTCAGCGATGTCCACTGTGGAAAAGCCACCACTAACTGGCATCAGCGTCCATTGTTGAGGGCATTTTACTCTGCATCGCTGAATAAGCCCAGTTGTTAAGTCTTTACTGGTTATGCCAAGTTCCAAGTTGTCTTAGTTATCGCTGTATAAGCCTGGGTCCAAGTCGGCGCTGGATAAGCCTTGTTCCAAGTAGGCGATGGTTAAGCCCAGTTCCAAGTCTTTTCGTCTTTGTTATCAAATGGCAAGTCTAAGTCATCACTGGATAAGCCCAGTCTAATGTTGTCCAAGTCATCCCTGGCTAAGCCCAGTTCCAAGTCATCACTGGTTAAGCCCCGTTCCAAGTCGTCTTTTTCATTGAACACCAAGTCATGGATGGATAAGTCTTAATATAATAATGGCGCCCAAACCGTCGCTGGTTAAGCCCAGTTCCAAGTCTTCACTGGTTAAGCCCAGTTTCAAGTCATCTAAGTCATCTCTGGATAAGCCCAGTTTCTAGTCATCTAAGTCATCGCTGGATAAGCCCAGTTTCGAGTCATCTAAGTCATCTCTGGATAAGCCCGGTTACAAGTCTTCGCTGGTTAAGCCCAGTTTCAAGTCATCTAAGTCATCTCTGGATAAGCCTGGTTATAAGTCTTCGCTGGTTAAGCCCAGTTTCAAGTCATCTAAGTCATCACTGGATAAGCCCGGTTCCAAGTCTTCGCTGGTTAAGCCCAGTTTTGAGTCATCTAAGTCATCTCTGGATAAGCCTGGTTCCAAATCTTCGCTGGTTAAGCCCAGTTTTGAGTCATCTAAGTCATCTCTGGATAAGCCTGGTTCCAAGTCTTCGCTGGTTAAGCCCAGTTTCAAGTCATCTAAGTCATCTCTAGATAAGCCTGGTTATAAGTCTTCGCTGGTTAAGCCCAGTTTCAAGTCATCTAAGTCATCTCTGGATAAGCCCGGCTCCAAGTCTTCGCTGGTTAAGCCCAGTTTCAAGTCATCTAAGTCATCTCTGGATAAGACTGGTTCCAAGTCTTCACTGGTTAAGCCCAGTTTCGAGTCATCTAAGTCATCACTGGATAAGCCTGGTTCCAAGTCTTCGATGGTTAAGCCCAGTTTCGAGTCATCTAAGTCATCACTGGATAAGCCTGGTTCCAAGTCTTCGCTGGTTAAGCCCAGTTTCAAGTCATCTAAGTCATCTCTGGATAAGCCTGGTTCCAAGTCTTCGCTGGTTAAGCCCAGTTTCGAGTCATCTAAGTCATCTCTGGATAAGCCTGGTTCCAAGTCTTCACTGGTTAAGCCCAGTTTCGAGTCATCTAAGTCATCTCTGGATAAGACTGGTTCCAAGTCTTCGATGGTTAAGCCCAGTTTTAAGTCATATAAGTCATCACTGAATAAGCCTGGTTCCAAGTCTTCGATGGTTAAGCCCAGTTTCGAGTCATCTAAGTCATCACTGGATAAGCCTGGTTCCAAGTCTTCGCTGGTTAAGCCCAGTTTCAAGTCATCTAAGTCATCTCTGGATAAGCCTGGTTCCAAGTCTTCGCTGGTTAAGCCCAGTTTCGAGTCATCTAAGTCATCTCTGGATAAGCCTGGTTCCAAGTCTTCGCTGGTTAAGCCCAGTTTCGAGTCATCTAAGTCATCACTGGATAAGCCTGGTTCCAAGTCTTCACTGGTTAAGCCCAGTTTCGAGTCATCTAAGTCATCTCTGGATAAGCCCGGTTCCAAGTCTTCACTGGTTAAGCCCAGTTTTGAGTCATCTAAGTCATCTCTGGATAAGCCTGGTTCCAAGTCTTCGATGGTTAAGCCCAGTTTCGAGTCATCTAAGTCATCTCTGGATAAGCCCGGTTCCAAGTCTTCACTGGTTAAGCCCAGTTTTGAGTTATCTAAGTCATCTCTGGATAAGCCCGGTTCCAAGTCTTCGATGGTTAAGCCCAGTTTTGAGTCATCTAAGTCATCTCTGGATAAGACTGGTTCCAAGTCTTCGATGGTTAAGCCCAGTTTCAAGTCATCTAAGTCATCTCTGGATAAGACTGGTTCCAAGTCTTCGATGGTTAAGCCCAGTTTCGAGTCATCTAAGTCATCACTGGATAAGCCTGGTTCCAAGTCTTCACTGGTTAAGCCCAGTTTCGAGTCATCTAAGTCATCTCTGGATAAGCCTGGTTCCAAGTCTTCACTGGTTAAGCCCAGTTTCAAGTCATCTAAGTCATCTCTGGATAAGCCCGGTTCCAAGTCTTCGCTGGTTAAGCCCAGTTTCAAGTCATCTAAGTCATCACTGGATAAGCCTGGTTCCAAGTCTTCACTGGTTAAGCCCAGTTTCGAGTCATCTAAGTCATCTCTGGATAAGCCTGGTTCCAAGTCTTCGCTGGTTAAGCCCAGTTTCGAGTCATCTAAGTCATCACTGGATAAGCCTGGTTCCAAGTCTTCGCTGGTTAAGCCCAGTTTCAAGTCATCTAAGTCATCTCTGGATAAGCCTGGTTCCAAGTCTTCGCTGGTTAAGCCCAGTTTCGAGTCATCTAAGTCATCTCTGGATAAGCCTGGTTCCAAGTCTTCACTGGTTAAGCCCAGTTTCGAGTCATCTAAGTCATCTCTGGATAAGACTGGTTCCAAGTCTTCGATGGTTAAGCCCAGTTTTAAGTCATATAAGTCATCACTGAATAAGCCTGGTTCCAAGTCTTCGATGGTTAAGCCCAGTTTCGAGTCATCTAAGTCATCACTGGATAAGCCTGGTTCCAAGTCTTCGCTGGTTAAGCCCAGTTTCAAGTCATCTAAGTCATCTCTGGATAAGCCTGGTTCCAAGTCTTCGCTGGTTAAGCCCAGTTTCGAGTCATCTAAGTCATCTCTGGATAAGCCTGGTTCCAAGTCTTCGCTGGTTAAGCCCAGTTTCGAGTCATCTAAGTCATCACTGGATAAGCCTGGTTCCAAGTCTTCACTGGTTAAGCCCAGTTTCGAGTCATCTAAGTCATCTCTGGATAAGCCCGGTTCCAAGTCTTCACTGGTTAAGCCCAGTTTTGAGTCATCTAAGTCATCTCTGGATAAGCCTGGTTCCAAGTCTTCGATGGTTAAGCCCAGTTTCGAGTCATCTAAGTCATCTCTGGATAAGCCCGGTTCCAAGTCTTCACTGGTTAAGCCCAGTTTTGAGTTATCTAAGTCATCTCTGGATAAGCCCGGTTCCAAGTCTTCGATGGTTAAGCCCAGTTTTGAGTCATCTAAGTCATCTCTGGATAAGCCCGGTTCCAAGTCTTCGCTGGTTAAGCCCAGTTTCAAGTCATCTAAGTCATCTCTGGATAAGCCTGGTTCCAAGTCTTCGCTGGTTAAGCCCAGTTTCGAGTCATCTAAGTCATCACTGGATAAGCCTGGTTCCAAGTCTTCACTGGTTAAGCCCAGTTTCAAGTCATCTAAGTCATCTCTGGATAAGCCCGGTTCCAAGTCTTCACTGGTTAAGCCCAGTTTTGAGTCATCTAAGTCATCTCTGGATAAGCCTGGTTCCAAGTCTTCGATGGTTAAGCCCAGTTTCGAGTCATCTAAGTCATCTCTGGATAAGCCCGGTTCCAAGTCTTCGCTGGTTAAGCCCAGTTTCAAGTCATCTAAGTCATCTCTGGATAAGCCCGGTTCCAAGTCTTCACTGGTTAAGCCCAGTTTTGAGTTATCTAAGTCATCTCTGGATAAGCCCGGTTCCAAGTCTTCGCTGGTTAAGCCCAGTTTCAAGTCATCTAAGTCATCACTGGATAAGCCCACTTTCAAGTCATCCAAGTCATCGCTGGATAAGCCCAGTTCCAAGTCTTTGCTGGTTAAGCCCAGTTTCAAGTCATCTAGTAATCGCTGGATAAGCCCAGTTTCAATTCATCAAAGTCATCGCTGGATAAGCCCGGTTCCAAGTCGTCACTAGCCCTGGACTCGACCTTGGGCCTCCTTAGTTGAATGCTTTCTCTGCTCCACCACGGTCTGTCATCCCTCAGGCTTCGCAGGGCTCCCTCTTCCTTTTGGCTCCACCTTGGTCTGTCGTCGCTCTGGCTCTGCTTCAGACCAGAGCCAGAGCGGATCTCCATCACCCCTCTGGCTCCGCCGAGCTCCTCCTTCACTCCGGTTCCTCCATTGTCCTCACTTCCACCATGGTCTGCTAAGCCCACTTCTGCACATAGGTTTCGTACGTCTGTGTTCCACGCCACCGTGGCCTTCCAGACCTTCAATGTCGCCTTGGCTATTTGGCTCTTCCTCTCCACCTCAGTCAGTCAATTCTAGTTGTATATGCTTTCGCTCTGTGTGTTGATTAACTGTCTTTGTTATTAGCTCATTCTGATCAAAACACAATCTATCATAAGGAGCTTATAATGCAGTGCTGCAATACCACATATCCAGAGTCAACCAGTAAACATTTCATTTAATATTGTGCTGTAGTGACATTGCACTCAGATCAGGTCACTGTCCACTGTCAGTCATGGTGGCTTGTGGTTTACCCTTTAAATGATTCATTTGATCCTTTTGTCCACTGGCAATAAGTCATGACAGCATGCTTTAATTACTAATCTACCTTGTATGTAATGGTGGAAGCGTAGGATTTCTTGAGAACTGGAATTCTAATGTTGTGACGTGAAATCCTCTGCACCTCGTACCTTATTTGTGTTCATTAATACAATATGTTTTCACAGAAAAAGGAAAGAGCTACATCATGTGGGCCTTTCCAGGAAAAATAAGTCATCTGTTAGTTTTTCATTTATTTATTTGAACTCGTTTACCCTCTCCGCAGGGCCCGGGCTGAAGACGTGTGGGAGGCCTTTGATAGAGTGTTAGGATGGCCACTGAAGCTTCTACCCTCCCAAGTCCTGTGGTGCGTCAGATCAACAAACAGTTCCTGATTTGCAGTATCTGTCTGGATCGCTACAACAATCCCAAGGTCCTTCCCTGCCTCCACACCTTCTGTGAAAGGTACTTTATTTCTGATATTCAGTTATATTGCTTAATTTGGTTATTTGACAGCTATTTGTTTTTGTATGACAGCTAAGAGTAAATTACTAAATTTTTTATTTTTCATTCTTAGTTCTGTAAAGGTAATTTTACTAATTAAGGCTTTATTTGTATTAATGAATTAACAACTTAAAGGAATATTTAATTTTAAAAAATCTGTTATTATTCACTCACATTCTTGTCGTCCTAAACCAGTATGCATTTCATACACTTTTGAGAATCACAAAAACATGACCATACGATGAAAGTCAGTGGTCAAAGTCTATGACGTCATGAGTGCTAGTGGGCGCCTGCAAAATACATCAACAAATTTTTTTTTTCTGAAGGAGACGTGCAGGGCACCCGATATGCATGTTTAATAGATGCTATGTGAACATAAATAGACATACCTGTACTGACAAATGTGTACATGCATAAACAAATGCACTAAGTGTACACAAAATATTAGTATTGGCCAAATTACTAATTCACAGAGGCCTAAAGTTTTACTGGACACTAGGGTTGCCAACCGTTCCGTATAATACAGAATCGTTCCGTATTTGACACGTAAAAGTCTTGTTCCGTATTGAACTGATACGGAACGCACTTTGTACCATATTTTTGAGAATCAATTCAGTGCAAATCCATGACAGACACATAGCTTCTAATATATGTCAGTCTCAAACAATGAATGAACAAAGACCTGCTATTATGAAAAATTTGGGGACTTGGCGCCCCCTGGGTGGGCTCTGACATGTAACGACGTAGAGTTGTCTCATTGGTCGCACGTCAGAGGCGCTCACGCCATTGGATGTGCAGTTGCGGGCCGGCATAGATATATACACGGCTGTGCAGCTGCAAATGCGATTTACACAGGCTTCAGTAAATCGAGGAAAAGGAGTTTCCGAAGACATTTGTAGGCTATGATAAGAAAAACTACTAAATTAAAAATATTATTTTTTTGCACTTGAAAGAAAAATCTAGAAGTCTAAAATCTATTGAATACGTTCGCACAAGGCTACACAAAACTGTTTCTTGTATTTTATAACTGAATTTTTCTTAAAAGCAGTCTAAGCCGATGAGTTTTGAATGTTATATGTTGTATTTGTTGAAATCAAAAATAAAACGTATTATAAACTAAACAAATCCATGGTTCATTGTTGGCAAAATGATCATGATAGCCTTTATATATCTAGCCTATGTGGTACAGTCATTAATTAGGCTTACTTTGCTATTCTATAAATATAGGCTTAATAAGTTGCATTATAATATGCCATAATGTATGAATTTCAGGGGTCATTTCTTCCGTGTAACAGAATTTCAGGGGTCATTTTCTCCACTTTCATTTATTGCACAATATACAATAAAGCCCTGTATGATGGCTTGTACTTTTTTCAGATAATGTGATGACAAACGAAGCCTCATTTTCTGTTCAATCGATTTCCGAGTCTGAACTGTGAGGAGTGTAGTGTACTTTTAAAGTTTTCTAAGCCATTTGGCGTTGGTGTTTTAGTGAAGCAGTGATAATTCTTACAAAAGCTTATATACTTATATAGTTATATACTTTAAAAACTTGAATGGCCTGTGTCTAATAACATTTAAAATTCATTCAATATGCATTATATTTCCTGGCTTTATGGCTGTTGTACATTTACAAACCAGCAGATGGTGCTGTTGTCAATAAGCAAAGGCTTAAAGGCTCATTTCCATATCAGTGAAGCAACGCACAACAGGGAAAGGGAAGGGAAAGATACACAGCATCAGTGTTGACTTCTCTTATATTTCACAGGAAACATGAGTGTTAACCAGGTGTTTGCTGTTTTTTTTTCCCCAGAATTGCACTACACATGAATCTATACAGGGTGCCCACAAAAAAAAAAAAAAACAATGTGAATGTGTCTGGCGAGAGCCAGTTACCACCACATAGGTTGTCATTTCAATAATCTGTTCCTATTGCTCCAGGTGTCTGCAGAACTATATTCCCGCCCACAGTCTGACTCTGTCTTGCCCCGTGTGCCGTCAGACCTCCATCCTGCCGGAGAAAGGTGTGGCGGCACTTCAGAGTAATTTTTTTATCACCAACCTGATGGAGGTGCTAAAGAGAAGCCCAGACATTAACCTCAGTGAGGACTGCACAGATGCTATCAATGGAGTGGCCAGTGGACAACCACTCTCATGTCCCAATCATGGAGGAAACGTAAGACTTGCACAGCAGTACAGGATAACTAAATCTCTAGTGTACAGAAGCCTGACTGTATGATACTGTATGTTAGAAGTATTTTCCTCCTGGCAAGTTACATTCTATTCATTATGTGAAATTCCTTAAGGTTTTTTGCAAAGGGAGTAAACCCAATATGAAAATTTGTCTTTGGCTTGTCACCAGCAGTGATGCTTCTCCCTCTCTTTTCATCAGGTAATGGAGTTCTACTGTCCACCATGCGAGACAGCCATGTGTGAGGAGTGTACAAGCGGCGAACACGCAGAACACGACACCGTCCCGCTTAAGGATGTTTTAGAACAGCACAAAGCCTCGCTACAGGAGCAGCTGGACGCCGTCAAAAACAGGCATGTAACATTCGCTTACGTACACATTGCTACAGATTTTTTTTGTTACATTGTTTTCTGTTTAAGTAAAAGGTCTTATTAAAAATAAGGCTCATTACTCAGTATGAAGACAAGCAAATGAATACACAGTAATACCTGAAATCACCCATTACACCAAATATGTCATCCAGAGAGGCCTGTTTTATCAGATTATATAAAGTACATTATGTGTATGTATAATGCTACACAGTTACATTACATTTTAACATTATACATGTCTTTACTGTCACTTTTGACCAATTTAATGCATCCTTGCTGAATAAAAGTACCGGTATTAGTTTCTTTCCACAAAGAAAAATCTTACTGACCCCAAACTTTTGAACGGAAGTTTATAATGTTACAGAATTTTTATTTTTATTTTTTTTAAATACATTTTTCAAAAGTTTTCAACATTGATAATAAGACTAAATAATTCTTGAACATCAAATCAGACACTGAAGACTGGAGTATTAAGATCACAGGAATAAATTGCATTTTATAATATATTCAAATAGAAAACATTTATTTTATATTGTAAATACTACTGTATAAAACTGCTGATAAATACTGATAAAATGATCAAATAAATACTGTATGATATTGCTGTTTTTGTTGTTGTTGTATTTTTAATCAATAAATGCAGTCTTTGTGTGCATAAGAGACTTATTTTAAAAACATTTAAAAAAATCTGAACGGCAATTTATGTGTAGGTGATAAATAAGGGATACATATATGTGCAGAGCGGTGGGTCCCCAGGATCAGGTTTGAAAACCACTGCTCAAACATACACAGTGATGGAAACAAACAAAAATAAAAACATAGGTTTAATGACTTAACTGTAATTCTAATATTTGAAAATTAACAGTAATAATAATAAAAAAAACAAGACCAAGTAGATATGTCCTAACATTTGACTAGTAGTGTATAAATAATTGTAATAAAAGTAACATAAAAAGAGATAAAATGAGTAATAACTTCTTCTTTTCCTTAGACTGCCAGAAATTGACTCTGCACTGGAGGTTCTGTCTGAGATTTTGCAGCAGCTGAGCAATCAGAAGAGTTCAATAGAAGATGTGATTCATGCTACTTTTGAGGAACTTCAGAAGACCCTTAATGTACGGAAGAGTGTTCTGCTGATGGAGCTGGAGGTCAACTACGGACTCAAACAGAAGGCTAGTACCCTTATCTAGAGGCTATTGTTTTTAAAGTTATCATTAGTAAGTAATTAGCTGTTTAGCGTGTTCTTACCATCAAATCTTTTATATTATTTTAAGTTATAAGTTTTTGTTAAAATATCCCTAAAGGCCTAAAGTTCTTTGCTTAAAGGTAAAAATAAGTTTGAAATACCGGAGCAGCGCTATACTGTTAGCAAACATCCCTATGGAGGGTTAAAGGAGAACTCTGGCGCAAAATGAACCTTTGGTCTAATTACACATTGTGACCTAGTCAACAGTTATCTGAGATTTGTTTTCATGATTATCGAATGTAAATCGTTTTATCTCTAAAAACAGTTTAGCCTATAACACTAGTGTAACGCTAGTACAGTATATAGGGCATAGAGTAATGACAAATAAAAATCGCTAGTTAATACCACTAACAAGGCTCAAAATAGCCCCACACTAACACACATAGCATAATGAGGGTCCAGAAGCATTGAGAACTTTGTCAGTGTCCAGACAGTTTAATAAGAAGATATTTTATACACACAGTCAACTTTGCGTATACAGGCAGAAGCCATCTTTGAAAACAGTCTCCAGTCGATCTACGAACGCCATCTGTGCTGCCTTTGTTTACTTTGTGTAATTAAACCTTTGGTCTAATTACACAAAGTAAACAAATGTGTAATTAGACCAAAGGTTCATTTTGTGCCGGAGTTCTCCTTTAAAGGGATACTCCACTTTTTTTGGAAACAGACTCATTTTACCAGTCCCCCAGAGTTAAACAGTTGGGTTTTACCGTTTTCAAATCCATTTAGCCGATTTTCTGATATTTAGAAGAATATCAGTAACCAGACAGTTTCTGGTCTCATTGACTTCCATAGTGAATTTTTTTCCTACTATGGAAGTCAATGAGAAAAAAAAGTGGAGTATCCCTTTAAGATAAATATGCACTCTTTCCTCTCAATAACAAAATAAACACAACAAAAATGTCAGCAGTGAGAAAACAGTAAAGACATCTGATCATAGTAATGTAGAGTATACAGTATGTTTGCACCAGCTTTACAATTCAGTACTCCAGTTAAGTCATTTCGCATTTATTTATGCTTTATAGCAAGCAGCTCTACAGTATTAAACATGAAAAAGAAACGTGTCACTTTCAGTTAGAATAACAACTTTAATTTCTAAAGCAGCTCTCCACTGTGTTCATGTTATACTCGTGTCTGACCTCAACTGACTAAACAGAAGAAATGAACTGGAGTAGATTTCCACTTCAAAGAAAGAAAGAAATGTCAAATAAAAACTAGTGAATTGTGATTGACTATTTTACATGCCTGCCTCTTTCTTATTCAAAGGGCGCCGTTCTCGTCCCAAATGAGCTCCAAAGTAGAGTAGACTTTATATAAAGTTGAGTTTATTCTCTGCAATGTTTATTTGCATGCATGCAAAATCTTGTCTCCTCCATATCAGTCGCACTGTTTTGCTGTGGTGAACGATTCTACAAATGAACAACTCTGTCACACATGCTTCTGTGTGGGTATGACATCAGTCCTGGCAGATGGCAGTGTGTCACATGGGAATGATTCATCTGGAAGAACCAGACCAACTACAGAGTCCGCCTTTAAACAAAGTAAACAAAGGCAGCACAGCTAGTCGCTAGCAGGCATAGTTTGGGGCATTGTAATGGAAGAGGACTGTGATAAACAAGTTGAGGTGAGGTAGGATTCTGAAATCAGTTTTTTTGTTTAGTTTTAAGATCAAACTGTGTACAGTTTTTCCTCATTTGATATCCCTTCATGATGTTGTATTTGAAATGACAGGACACTCTCACTAACAGGGTGGCTTTATCAAAGCATAGATCTGTCACTGTTGAGGACATTTGGTCCTTGTCATGCTATGCTGACTGATTCATCAGACCTTTTTTCTATGATAGAATGGCTTTATATGTACCAGATTCAGTAAATGATTAGCACTTGTACATGTCAGGAATTGATGTTCATTTATGTTGGACTTTTATGTTGTGCAGGACATGCTTTTAGCACTGATTAACTGCTAGCATTTGTTTGTTTACACAGTTTCAAATGGTTTTAGTGGTTTTTAGCAAATGTTCCAAAGAGCATCTCGTGCTTTAATGGAAGTAAAAACATTCGGTCTTCTGTTCAAATGATCACACTGTTATTGCATTTGATTGGTGATCTAGAAATGATCCAAAATATTAAATATTTCCTCTTAGTCTGTACATTGTCTAAATCTTTATAAATCTAAAAAGACAGACTTTTGGACCCTACTGTATATGCAGTTTATGTGTATCATGATCTGTGTGGTTGCAGATCTAAACATTTATGCCATTGTGAACAAACTTTTCAGGCTCAATTGGATTCAGGAACACTTATTTGTAGCGTTGGACCATTAAATTAGTGTTATTGTACGCACAAACACTGATTGGTTCTTTCAATGCCGTGGCACTAGCCAATCAGAAGTACTTCCAAATCACGTAACCATATTGTACCCTAGCCTGCGATCGGCACGCTGCGTGATATGAATTCTTCTGTTATCCCTCCTCCTCCCCAGAACCACCTGTAGAGATATGCTTTTCTAGCCTTTTCTTGGTTGGTTATTTCTGACTAAGCTGAACAAATTACTGTATTTGCTCAGGAGCAGCAGCATAGCAGATCTCAAGTCTATGTATATTTAATTCCCTTGCCAATAAATGCTGGTTGAAATTGATCCACTCTGAGAGCTGTCATGATTGGACTCTAATTTGAATGTCATTGCAGGTGTTGCAAGCTCAGCTGGAGTTGTTGCTGCAGGGGCAGGAGGGCATATGCAGCAGCTGCAGTTTCACCGAGCAGGCTCTTAATCACGGCTCGGAAGCCGAGGTCCTGTTGGTCAAGAAGCAGATGAGCGAGCGCCTTGACGAGCTGGCCAATCAGGAGCTCCCTCTTTGGCCAGAGGAGAACAAGCAGCTGGACTTCTTGGTGGAGACAGACGGTCTTCGCAAATCCATCCACAACCTTGGTGCTATAGTAACCACCAATGCTATAGCCGCAGAAACTGTTGCCACCGGTGAAGGCCTGAGGCACTGCATCGTGGGACAGCCAACCTCGGTGACTATAACAACAAAAGACAGAGACGGCGGACTGTGCCGGACAGGAAATGCTCTGCTCATTGCTGATCTTTCTGCCTCTGATGGCACCGCAGTGGGGGAAGGTGAAGTCACGGATCATAAAAATGGCACTTATGAGTTTGTGTACACGGCCCCGTGTGAGGGCCGCTTCACGCTCTCGCTGAAGCTCTATGATCAGCATATTAAAGGCAGCCCATTCAGCATACGTGCCAACAAAATGACAGAGATCTCCCTGACTGCAGACGGAGGCAAGAAACGCCTCAAATCTCCAGGAAGCAGCCATGTGAAACAGCGTGCCATCAAGCGCCCTGCCAGCATGTACAGCACCGGCAAACGGAAAGAAAACCCAATCGAAGATGACCTCATGTTCCGAATCGGTATGATAAGCACTAACAGATGGCTTAAAAAGAGTAACTAAACCAACGTTTTTTGTTAATTATCTGTAAGAACGGATCTTTATTAATACCAGTCATTGATTCGAGTAACTTTTTTGACATTTGTGTATAAAGTGTTTTATTTCTACAATATATAGTGTAAAAATGTCTTAGTGCTGCCCTCTTCAGGTTGAACGGTGGCTACTGCAGGTTTCAGCTCACCACGCTTAGGTACGGGCTACGCCCAGTATAAAACCAGCTTGTTTTGTCAAAATCACTGTAGCGAGTCAGGAGTTGGAATTGCGAGTATTGAAAACGATCAGGATAGAGTGTTTTTAGCATCTATTTCGTCCCCTCTATCTGACCTGGGATCTGCCCACTTTTTCAGCATTTTTCAAATATTGCCAGTGGGTGGAGTCAGGCTCTGACCAGGGGTTTAGTTACCCTTTAAGAAATGAACACTACTACAGTCAGGTCACTGTAAAAGGGGTGATAAAGAGACTATAAAGAGAAACAAATGCTTTTTTATTTGTAAAAACTATCAGTATCAATTACTTTTGCTGAGAAAAGTATCTATTTGTTAAAGTGCAACAGCTTTTAAATTTCCGGGTGTTTTGTGGACCTAATGATTAGTGTGTGTCCAATATTGGTAGATATTATAAAACTATACTGTTAATAAACAATTAAATATCCTATATTGGCAGATGATGAACAATAAAAAACGAACCTTCAGTTTTGAATGAATGTCCACAAAAAACAATAACCCAGCGTTTATATTATCCTGAATGGAAAATTTCCATCCATCCTTATTTTATTTCTGTCCCATAGGAACTAAAGGCAGAAATAAGGGTGAGTTCACCAATCTTCAGGGAGTTGCTGCTTCTTCTGTTGGCAAGGTCCTGATAGCAGACAGTAACAATCAGTGTGTTCAGGTATACAGTTCTACACATCACCTGTCTGTCTAATCACATTGTAAATCTACTCTCGTTCTGTGGACGTTGATGCCCTTTTCATTTAAACGAAACCAATACGAAAACAAGTGCTTAATTTAAGATGCATGTAAATTGTTTCATTTGTAGATATTTTCAAATGATGGACAATTTAAGAGTCGCTTTGGAGTGAGGGGCCGATCACCAGGACAACTTCAACGTCCAACTGGTGTCGCTGTGCACCCCAATGGTGACATCATCATTGCTGATTATGATAACAAATGGGTCAGCATTTTCTCCTGTGATGGCAAGTTTAAGGTATCTGCATCTGCTTTTTATTATTAGTTTTATTAAAGAAAATTTAAACTTTTAAGGATTTATGGCAAATAGCTTATCACCAAATACTTGTTAGTATAAGAAATCTTTGCTATTGGCATGTTTTCTTTTTATAAATACGCTTAAAGGAAAATTCTTTCTGGTTGATTTTCACTCTTGTGTCCTCTGTGTCTTTTTTTCAGACTAAAATTGGCTCAGGGAAGCTCATGGGTCCTAAGGGTGTATCGGTTGATAGAAATGGCCACATCATTGTGGTTGACAATAAATCTTGTTGCGTCTTCATTTTTCAGCCCAACGGAAAACTTGTTTCCAAGTTTGGAAACCGAGGCAACAGTGACAAGCAATTTGCAGGTACTTACCTTGGTTACATACTGGCACTTCACATGCTATCCGAATTATTTTAAATAGAAGTTTCCTTGTAAGAAATTGAGCATGAATGGCTTCGCAAACCTAATTTTGATACCCACGTTTCCGAATTGGGCAGGACATAAATTTAAACATGGCCGAGTAGAGAAGAGAGTGACTGTTAAGCTTAATTTGTTTTTCCCATAACATACAGTATATAACTTTCTTTTGCTGTTACAATTATGTATATAAATAGCCATTTGATGCACATTGTATGTATTTCACACAGCGAAAAACTATTTGAAAGATATCCCAGATTCTAAACGGTGAATGCATACAATGTAATGTAATGTTTATGTGGTTGCCAACAAACTGGATGCTACATTTAATTCAAAATCCGCTATACATTTTAGCTTTAATAAGATTTCCCTAAGAAATAGGCAAGAATAAACCTGGCATCTTCCATGATTTCTATTCTTTCTGACAAAACAGCACTTTAAAGAGATAGTTCACCCAAAAATGAAAATTCGGTCATTAATTACTCACCCTCATGTCGTTCATCTTCGGAACACAAATGAAGATCTTGTTGATGAAATCTGAGAGCTTTCTGTCCCTTCGTTGACAGCTATGCAACTACCACTTTGATGCTTCAGAAAGTTCATTAAGAGATCATAAAACAAATCAAAATGAATTGAGCCGAACACATTTAATTTAGGCTTTTATTCACATTTAAACATTGATCAGCGAACATAAACAGAAGCTCAACCGAACCTGCTTGATGCGTGAGAACAAACCTCTTGCTCTCATAACACATGGGAATGAACCTCATTGGTTCTCACACGTCAAGCAAACATGCTTGAGCTTCCGTTTAGCACAACTGATGTGTGAGTTGATGAATGTTTATATGTGAATAAAAGCCTAAATTCAATCTGTTCATCATAAAGCAAGCGTGTCTCTACAGAAAACGTTGGATGAAACCATTTGGATTAGTTTTCTGATCTCTTTATGAACTTTTCGAGGCGTCAAGGTAGTTACGTACAGTAGCTGTCAATGGAGGGGCAGAAAGCTCTCAGACTTTATCAAAAAGATCTTCATTTGTGTTCTAAAGATAAATGAAAGTCTTACGCGTTTGGAACGACATGAGGGTGAGTAATTAATGACAGGATTTTAATTTTTGGGTGAACTAACCCCAACACAGTCATACCTACAACTTTTTTGAAAGAATTTGGTAAATTCAGAAAACACACAAAGCGTTAATCTTAACAACCTTGTGCTTGCTCAAATTGTTTCAGCCTTCAGCTCATACAGTATCTAAAACAGTTTTCACTAGCTAATTTTTCAACCAAAAGGAAAAGCCACATAAACACAGAACGTTCCCCTAACGTTCCCCCATGGTCCCATGAGGTTATTTTTTTGGGAACCAAACAAGAACGTTATAGGAACGTTCCATGTAGGTTATTTTTAGGTTCCATTTTTATAACGCATGGAGAATGTTCCGGGAACGTTCCCTTAACCTTAAGGGAAAGTTCTAGGAACGTTCTGGGAACCAAAAACTAACGTTCCCAGAACCTAAATTTGTTTGCTGTGATGTTGATTGTGTAACCAAGCACTTTTATGGGACAAAAAAAGACCAGGAGGGATTTCATCAAAAACCAACTGTGACTATTATTGAGTAAACTAGTGGAATGAGGGCTTTAGGTTACCATAAGTTGAATGTTCAACTCCTCTTCTTTCATTTTCATAGGTCCCCACTTTGCAGCAGTCAATCCAAATAATGAAATCATTGTGACTGATTTTCATAATCATTCTGTAAAGGTAAACATTTCCTGTAGTCATAATAGTCATATTCCTAAAATGTGCTATCTTGTAAATGTAAATATTGATGTGTTAATGCAGATTGTGTCATCAAATTGCAGGTGTTCAGTCCAGAGGGGGAGTTTCTACTGAAGTTTGGTTCTAATGGCGAAGGAAATGGGCAGTTTAATGCACCGACAGGTGTGGCGGTAGATGCCAATGGCAATATTGTAGTGGCCGACTGGGGCAACAGCCGGATACAGGTAATACAGGCTTAGATCAACTTTTTCACCAACAAATGTGATTAACCTAACACGGTGTGATGACTAGCAGTAAACATATATTTTAGTCATGTCAGGGAGTTTTTTTTTAGATTTAACATCTTTATATGATCCATCTGTGGGACTCCAGGTGTTTGACAGCAGTGGATCCTTCTTGTCCTACATCAACACCTCCGCAGACCCTCTGTATGGCCCGCAAGGACTGGCTCTGACCTCTGATGGCCACGTTGTGGTGGCAGACTCTGGGAACCACTGTTTTAAAGTATACCGTTATCTACAATAGCACTTATTCCTTAAAGCTGCCGCCCTTGTGCCAAATGGGACCCTCATATTGCATTGAAGTTGTTGTTGTAGCCCTTACCTTGGAGAGAAGAACAAACTGAAGGAAATGGGAGTCTGTACCCTGATCATGAAGGTTTGCAAACCTAAAAACATTGATTTTGCAAGTCGAAGGAAAAATTCACCCAAAAATATGAATTCTGTCTTTTTTTTCACCTCATGTTGTTTAAAAATCCATATTAATTTATTTTTTCCCATGGAATATAAAAGGCACATTTTTAAAGAATATATAGGCGATTCTGTATTAATAAAAGTTAATTGCAACCATATATTCCAAGCCATACAAAGAGACTGAGGAACAGAACGAAATTTGTTATTCGTTGAAAATCATCGCCGTAACTCTCAAATCAAATAAATTGCGTAAATGATGTTGGCATTGACGCATCATTTTCGTAATTGATTTCAGTTTCAGTGAAGAGGGTGATAAACAATACATGTTAAATTTGAACTTTTTTAAATGCCATTAATTTGTATGCAAACCTGTCATGACGCATGAGTTGTATACTTTTTCAATTGTTTTCCCACTTTTATTATATGAAAGAGACAGTTCACAATACTTAAAAAAAAAACTTTTTTGCTCCATGGAAGAAAGTCAGGATAATTTGTAACAGTGCGAGGATGAGTAAATGATGGCAGAAATGTAATTTTTTAAGAATGAAACAATATAGATTTAGGTTATGCTGTTCTTCACTTTTCACTCAACTACAACACATTAGGGGAAGCCTTTTTGTTTCTGTGTGAATCTGAATGCTCTTATTTCAGCACTCAGCTGATTAAAAAAGGGAACTTTTCAAAGTACTGGCATGAATGTAAGTAATGCATTTCCAAACTGCTATTCAATTTTATATATCTACACATCCAACAGACAAAATAATCTCACTATGGTGGGCCAGTGTCACCAATATATGGCCAGAGTTATGTTTAAAGGTGATGTCAGAAATATTTATAACTTGTGCCACAATATATGTGCTTCTCTGATTATGACTGTGATGTACTGTGGTTAGTACAATGTTTGTATAATGCAATTACTGTACATCTCTGTAATCACTTTAACCCATAATATGCAAGAAACAAATCACTTGATATGCTGTTTAGATAAATACATTTTTAATATCACTGCACTGGAGTAAAAAGATGCTATTTAATTTCTCAGTTCAGAGAACTGAGCAGAAAAAATCAGTGATGTATCAAATGAGTAATTCACCCTATGCACTTTATGAATTAGCACCACAAAAAACACGTATAGTGCTAATATTAAGGAGCCCCTGGTTTAACGTTTATCAGAAGACATGCATTAGTTAGTGATCATGTGTTGCTGTGAGAGTGGTTATTTTGTGTTGTTCATACTCGTAATGCTTAAACTGAAAAAGTGCCCATGTGTTCTTTTCAAGTGTACTAATGCCAAATGCAGAAAGTAAATGTTCCTCGTCTCACCGTATGTCTGTTCTCCTGTTCAGTCCCGTTGTCATTAACATGGAATTAGTGCTGCTTGTTTGCACAAAAATATACACAATATTGCATACATTCCAAAATGTATTTCTTTCCCCTTTATACCCGCAAACCTGATTTTTGTAGCAATAAAGCTTGAACCCTTGCTCCTTTGCTGTAGGCTATTAACTTTTGTGGCATAAAACACCAATAATGCTTTCAAATTTGTTTTAGCGCCATGTTCACGTGACCGGTGATTTATCGTTATATTTGTACAGCACATTGCATTATTTTAACTGTTCCGAATATATTCTATTCGTTAATAGTAGATGAAAATTTAAGTAGCTACTTAGTCATAAAAGTGCAACACAGAAAAATTAAGTGTTTCAGTTGGAAACAGCAGACAGTGAGGTAAGGTTACATTGTTTTTTGACGCCCCACTTTGTAACTTTGAAACTACAGTACGTCTACTAATTCTCATTAGAGTGCTAGTTGAGTATTAGTAGACTGTTAGGGTTAGAATAAGTTGATATGTAGTTGCAAAGTTAATTGTAATTAATAGAACGTCTTTTGGGGGAGAATCAAAATACAGTGTTAGCAGATAATACTCTAATGAGAGTTAGCAGACATATAGTTGCAAAGTTACTAATAATTACTAGAATGTCTAAAGTGGACCAGAAAAAAACCTTTGCAGCTTAACAAAAAAAAAAAAAAAAAAAAAAAAGAGTTGATCAAGACTTCATGTGCAGTTACTTTCCAGACATATACACCCCTCAAGTCCTCCTACAGTTAAGGGTAAATTAAAAAAAAACTTCTTACAGCTTTCTTTAGAAAATATATTTTATACAAACTTCTTACAGCTTTCTTTAGAAAATATATTTTATACATTTTAGGGAAAGCTTGTTATATTTTCACAATTTTTTTTTTCTTGAAATTTCCTTGATGTCATGTTTTGCAGTATCCATTTTTAAAGGGAGTAGATCTCAGGTTCATTATAATGAATAAAACTGCTAAAGTCACCATCATCTATTCTAGATAAAACTCATTTCTAAAATCGAAATGCTTTACGTAGGTAAAAATAGGAAATAGAAAATATTTTGTTTTGTTCAATATCTGCAAAATTTAAAAGCTATAAACTCTGATAGCATTTCTTTCACTGTCTTGATCTGAGTAGCATGTTAGAGCATTTGAACAACTGAAAAAAATTCAACCTAAAAGTAATTCACAACACAGAGTCAAATACAAAACTTTTTTTTTTATTTTCAATGGTCAAACTTGCAAAACATCTAGAAAAATATACAACAAAATGCTGAACCTTACCACAACAACAAACATAAAAGAAAGAAGAATATTCACATTTTCCCCCATTAGAGATAAAAGCACATTCTTTTATTCCTCATTATTCAAAAGCAGAGTTTCCTCACATTTCCCCACAGTAGCCTGAATCATTGGAGAGCTGAGAGTTGGAGCTCCGGTTTGAAGAGGAGTTCCATATGTCCAAATTCATGTGTGGTCCAAAAGGATTGAAGCTGGAGTACTGTTTTGCTGGGCAGGCGCCGCCTGGTTCGCGGCTGAAGGGTGCGACGGGTGAGATGGGCGAGTGGGGCGAGACGGGAGCGGAGCGCTCTGGGTGGAAGTGGTTCTGGTAAGGCTCGCTTTGAGGTGTCCAGATAGAGCCAAATAGACTGGACATGGGTGACAGACTTCTGGTTCCTGAAAAGTATGGCTGGGAAAGATAGATAAGGGAAAAATTGTCAGTTTTTGAGCATTCTCTAAAATATAATCTTATTTTTTTTATCATATCACATATTTTAGTAGTTATCATAAATTAGGTATAATTTGAAAGCTTTGAAACAGTTTTATAATTGAACGTTGCATTACCATAGAAACGGTACATATTTTATCAGGCTCCTCCCCTTTTGGGCATCATTATATTTCATAATTTATGATCAAAACCTTTTCTAATCTTGACAAAACACATATTGTCTCAAGGTCCCAAATTTTGTGACAGATGTGATATTTGGACAGAAATGTATTAACTTGTTAAGGCAGAATGTATACAACTAAATTAAATAGAATTGAATCGCACCTGGTGGCTATTTTTGGTACTACGCCTAAACAAAATCTCATGGGAACTTCATTTTTTTGTGATATTTGTGATAACTTCAAACTTGAAACATAACTTGGTTAGATGTATGGCTTTGATTTTATAGTAATTTTAGAGTCAAAAATATTTTGTAAAATATATATTTTATATAAAATATATATTTTGTAAAATATATATTTTATATAAAATAAAAAATTCAGAGTTCAGATGCAAAAGCCTCTAAATGCCATTTGAAATTTTCTTCTTTAATGATGATTTTTATCAAACTTGTATATTTAAGTTCAGTAATTTCACTTAAATGGCAATGATAATTACCTATTAATTGTTATTTAAGTGAAATTACTGAACTTAAATATACAAGTTTGATAAAAATCATCATTAAAGAAGAAAATTTCAAATGGCATTTAGAGGCTTTTGCATCTGAACTCTTAACATATTTAAATAATTATGGCCTAATTTACATATTTAAACATAACATTTCAGAAATGTAATCTATCAGTAAAAAAATCCCCTATTCACCTGGGGTTTCCTACCTCAAATATCAATATTCATCATTAGAATTTCAGTATTGTGACAATACTACTGCCGAATACATTTTTTTCAATGTGCTTGATAAGAACAAACTCACCTTGCTCCCCACACAACTGCCAGCAGTGTCCCATGTGGAGTTCATGTCATGAGCTCCATTCTCTCCCCAGACTGGCTGATGGCTCTGGGTCATGGTTTGGCTTTCAGGGCACGAGAATGCATTTTGGTAATTGCCGTTACCTTCACGGACAAAGCAAAGAAAATGGTCACTCATCCTTCAGTAACTATGTACAACAGTGAAACATTTCTCAAAGTGAAAGAAAACCCCTCACCTGTTGGCATGTAGTTGGCCTGATCACTATAGGGATACTGACTGGTACATTGGCTGTTCATGTTGTTCCACGGGAAGCTGCATAATATTGACACATAAGCATTTGAATTTGTCAGCGGATGGACTCAAATGAAGTCAAAAATAAAATACAAAAGAACTAAAAGCCTGAGACATACCCTTCATATCCAGATGGGGGACTCTGAGGAACAAACGGAAGAGATTCGGTCATGTTGTACCTGAATCCATTGGTCAGGGGAATGGAGGCGGCTGACCATGTCTCTTCAATCACATTAGAGCCAATTGCATCTGTGGAAAGCAAAATGCATAATCGCATAAATAAAACGCAAGATCGCACATCTTAACCGCCAGTGGCGGTTCTACCTTGAATTACACCCAGGGCGAGACCCCCTTCGAGCTTTGCATATTATAGGCTACTGTAAAAACTCATAATTAAAGTTGATTTTAGTTGATCATTAAAGTATTAGATAATATGGTGACCAAAATGATCACACACAGAATCTTGTTCAAAATGCCTAATACACAGTGAAATCAATTCACCAAGTTAATAATATTAAAGGTTTGTTTTAAAGGAGTGCCTTTCATCTTTCTTACTAAACTTAAAAAAAGGTTAACACAAAAAAAGGTTTTATATAAAGATAAACCTCATATTTCAGCATTTAAATCAGTCAATAAAGATACATTCCTGACATTTATAATGCACAGTAGCTTATCTTTTATTATTAATAGTAAAATTCGTACCGATTTTCCCATGGCTGTCGTTGCTATAGAAGCATGCACTCATTACACTGCGCTCTCCAACGACAAAGAAGTTTTAGTAGCTAATGTATTTCCACCACAGAAAAACGCTTGCTGTAGCTCTGCTAAAAGAAGTATTTACGGAGAACAGAAAAAAACACCCAAGTGTTTGGGTGCACGTGCACTCCCATACTGAAAAGTTTATGAGCGCGCGTCCTGTGAGCGCATAATGAGCGCGCTTCCCGTGCGCCTATTTGAAACATAGAGGATTTGAAATAACGACCTCGAGCGTGCAAAAGACGCGATACGTGAACTAATCAGGAGACCCCCTTGACATCGCCTGCCCGGTTCGCCCGTGCCTAGAACCGCTACTGTTAACCGCTACGATCCTCTTGGTAGATATAACGTGTGAATGTCCCTCACCGATGTTTTTGTCCACACCTGCAGCAACATCAGCGAAGCTCTGAGGAAGTACAGGGTCAGGAGAGACTTCTGGGCTTTGGCATGGTTCCCTGACATACAGATTGTTCATGCTGAGGACAAATGTGTAAATAGTCAAATCATCTAGATTATTCTTAATCACTTTTTTTTTTTTTTTTTGGTCACTCATTTTACCTTTGGGTTTTGTATGTATAGTTCATGTTCAGGTAACATTCACGATCTTTTGGATATGGGTGGTACTGGATGTTGTCTCCTATAAAAACAAGGACCAAACAGCAATTTTGATTAAAATGTTATTCATAATAATTCCTCTTCTCTTCACTCACGCCATGTTATAATGCTCGAGATGGCAAAATGCTCTCTGTTAAAGGGATACTCCACTTTTTTTGGAAATAGGCTCATTTTAAAACTCCCCCAGAGTTAAACAGTTGGGTTTTACCGTTTTTGAATCCATTCAGCCAATTTTCTGATATTTAGAAGAATGTCAGTAACCAGACAGTTTCTGGTCTCATTGACTTCCATAGTAGGAAAAGAATATACTATGGAAGTCAATGAGACCAGAAACTGTCTGGTTACTGACATTCTTCTAAATATCAGAAAATCGGCTGAATGGATTCGAAAAGGGTTACACTCAACTGTTTAACTCTGGGGGAGTTGTAAAATGAGCCTATTTCCAAAAAAAGTGGAGTATCCCTTTAAGGTCCTCAGAGAGTGAATTGCGAGTTTCTATTACACTACCAATGGCTAAATGAATATGCAGTGGTCAGGTGGTACAAGTAGGAGCTCTCAGAAAATTCCCAGTTTACATGCTGTAACTACAAGCTGTAATCTTGAAATCTGGGTAATTTAAACGTGGCATGAACGCACGTGAAGTACAAATGTGTGTAGTGTGTGCATGTGTGATCTCTTACTCCTGCAGGGATGTCTGTTGGGGTCTCTCTCTCCCTCTATGCTGCTGGCACTGCTCCAGCTGCCCCAGGATCCTCGGCTGGCTCTTACACTGCCTGATGAACTGCTCGAATCAGAACCTGACTCCCAATGCAGACGTCGCTCTGGACACTTACGCCTCGGTCGGACTAAACACGTGCCTGAGTTTGTGTAAAAAGAAAGCGATTAACAGAACTGATGTGCAGCATTACACTTAACACACACGTATACATGTGATAGTGTAATGTAATGGCTGCAGAAAATTCGTCTTAATAAATTCGATTGTAAAGTATCTTAGAATAGAAAACAGTTCTTTTAAATTGTAATGATATTTCACAATATTACTGTTTTCACTGTATTTTTATCAAATAAATGCAGCCTTGTTGAGCATAAGAGACTTCTTTCAATTCAATCATTTAAAACCATATGATGTTGTTTCGAACAACTGTAGTAACATTAGGATGTTCACGAACACTGGTATGATGTCATTCACACATGCAGCAGTGAGACAGGGGAACTGCTGTAGATCACTTCCTCACCACCATTGTGTTTGAGAGGGCTGTCTGGGTTGGTTCCTATTTTAGGTAGTTCAGGTTTCACGTTGCGGGTTCTGGCAGCATTACGTGGAGGTTCTCTCTCACTCTCTGTCACCATGATAACACTGTTTTCAGGAAGTCTGTTGGGTTGCCAGAGTGAAAGAAAAGAAAAAATGCTAGGGATGAACAATATAGCGGCAGAACGACAAGAAAATTTTATCCATCAATCTTAAATTATTAACCTGGCCCTAGCCAGATGAATTTCGCTCCGCCTAGCTCCACTCATCCATCTGGAACCGATCCATTGAAATGGCGTTTCAGAAGGCTGGGCCTTATCAAAAATCCTTGCATATGATTGGATAAGCCACTTGTCTGTCATCTTTATCGACGTGCTATTTCAACCACTCACACCGAAGCCAACCCGTGACGCTGATGAGAGCGACGCAGGAAAAAGCGACGCTTGCCAAATCCGGTCGGGAGAAGGGCGAAAACATCGTTTCCACCAACAAAAGCCTTCAGAGCCGTTCTCTGACGTTCTTTTAATGGAACAATATTAGGTAGATTGGACAACACGGATGAAATAGCAGCATCAATGTTAACGCTTGCTTCCTCGATGCGAGCCGCCATTGTTGTCTGAATCAAAACAGTCTCACGGTCGTCATATCTATGAAACTCCCGCCCTGCGTCCTGATTGGCTAAGCCATAAAGTTGGTTGGAGAAATCACTCTCAATGGAAGAGGTTCCAGATGGATGTGAGTGAAGCTAGGCGGAGCTAAGCGGAACGACATTCATCTGGCTAGGGCCAGGTTATTAAAATATGGCTTTTGAATTGCATATTGCGGTCAATAATTGATTTAAAATGCTAAAAATCAAATGAATCATGATGTGTTCATGTAGTGTATTTATAATAAAGGAAACATAGTGTGGCAATGCTCTTCAGTGTAAGGGTAATAATAGCTTTGGGCTGAATCAAAATCCAGTGAATCATGATTTAAATCAATCCTCTGTCAATTCACACAACTACTTGTAACAACATAACTAACAAACTGCGCACTAGAACGTTTTCATCGTTTCATCACAGACACGTACCCAGGAATGAGCTCAGCTGGCTTCCTGCGACTCCTGCCTGTGTTTTTCTTCGCTTTGGTGTTGGCGGCAGACACTCCAAGTTCTGCATCTTTCTCCGGTCTCTTCTTCTGAGCGCCACCTCTTTCTAGCTTCTGAAGGAGGGGCACAAACAATTCATCTTTCTGAAAAAGGTGAAAAAGGAAAAACAGATGCTCTTCTGCTTTATAATGGCTCTTACCTCTTCATCTACATAATCCCTTTTTTCAGCATTGATTTTTTTTCTTTTACACTCCTCGCCTTCCATCACTTCCTCTACAGGCTGAGGGACTCTGCCCGCTGTGACGTTTTCAGATAGTCTAGGAACTGTTTCCATAGGAAACATATCAGCTGGCAAAGCCTTGTCCTCCATGGATTCTCTAAAGTGCTCTTTCTTCTCGGCAGGGAGAAGGGTTTCATCAAAGATGTCGTTGTTGTTGTTGTTGTTGTTACACACTTCTGGGTCTAACTCATAGGTGTGATCTCTATCTTCGTCGGTTGGAGGGTTGCTAAAGTCAGAGGTAGCAGAAACACTAGCAGCTGCAGATGCAGGGCTATTTTTATATCTACTGTAGAGGAAAGACACTTTAGTCTGCTTCTTTACAGGCTGGGAAGAAGGTCCAGAACTTTTCTTGGATGAGGACTGTGATCGAATCGTCCCATTGGCCACAGCTGGAGATCCTCTCCCCTTGCCTTTGTCAGAGGGGTGGCTTGTGTCAGTGTAGTTCTTACAACTGCCTTTTCCTCTACTAAAAAAAACAAACAAACAAAAAACTATTACTTAAAGGTCCCGTATTATGTAAACTAAGTCTCTGATGTCCCCAGATTGTATTTGTGTTTCAATTCAAAATACCCAACAGATCATTTTTTACAGCATGTTTAAATTGTCATTTTTTGGGGGCTCAAAAAAATGCGCTGTTTTAGTGTGTGCCCTTTAAATGCAAATTAGGATTAACCTGAGCATGAGCTTCATGAGCTCATGCTCAGTCTCTCAGGACAATTTCATCTCACAGAATGATGATAATATCAGAAACTCCCAGTAACGGTGTTCATTTCGAGTCAGACAATAATGCGTACAGAGTCTGAGAGCTGTATAGAGAAGGAACAGGTATAGTTAAGTAGTTTAATTACGGTTATTATAACGTATTTGTCACCTGTCTGCTGATGAGTTTATTATATTGTACATCACACAAAAGATGAAGTGTCAGTTTTACATCAGAAAATCACAGTAAGAGTTGAGTAAACACAGTAAGTTATAAGAAGTGCGCAAGTTGAGGGAGTTAAGGGAGCATTCCCGTTGGCGGATGTAGTCAAAAAACTGTTCTACTGACGTCATTAAAGAAGGAAGTAGAAGGATGTAGTCCAAACGGGCCATTCGATGTAGGCTACTTCTGTTAAATAAAATATCTCGCTTGGCATTGAACTTTGAGCTTTATAATTTTACAGATATTATTTATACTCTAACAACAACATTACACACTAACTAAAGTTTGAAACATTGGATCACGAAGAACGGGACCTTTAAAAATGGTTCCAACTCATACAATTGGCTATAGTAAAAAGATGAAGTTCAAACAATAAACACAGAAATACAATGTGCAAAAACCACAAACTAAAAAGCAATACCTTTTAAAATAATAATAATGTTTATATAATAAATGTAATTATTTAGATCTTTATTTTACAGTATTAGTAGTTTAATTTAATAATTATGTTTATGATAAAGCTATTTTTTATTGAGTACTACATCTTAAATTTTACAGCAATAGTAGTCACTATTTACTATTGTAGTTTCATTATTTTATAAAAAGGCATTGCTTGTTAGTTTGTGGTTTATTTATTAATGTTTATTTAATAAAAGTAATTATTGAATATTTGTTTTGAATATTAGATTTATTTTACAGTACTAGTAGAAGCAGCAGCAATAATAATAATAATAATACCCTCCTTTATTGTTATTATTATAATTATCATTATCATCTTTTACTTTCTGCGAGTACACTACAGATAACAGTTTTTAATACAATTCTCATTACAAATCTTTACAGAGCAACCCTAACTAAGAGCACCTGAGTTTGTGTGGAGCAACACTGACTGTGTAAACCAAATCGCTCTAAGATACACTGAAAATATTTTATTGTGTGTGTGATTTCCAATTTATTTGGATTATTTGTGCATCCCTGATAAAGATTGATGCTGACTCACCTGACACCATTTGAGGAGCTGTGGTTGACACTGCTATTTTCACGAGGTACAGAGTTGTGATTGCTACGTGGACTTGGTGTGGAGAACTCGCTCAGAATGTGCTGAGCTTGATGGAAAGCCATTAGACACACACCGGCTAGAGAGGAACTGCAGAGAGGACAGGTTTGATATTAATGCACAGAATCCATTTCAAGTTGCATGCACAGGGTAGCATTTCATGAGGTTTAAGCATATATGGGGGCTGCTAACCAGGTCAAAACCAGTGTGACGACCCAGAAGGACTCCTCCCAGCTGGGTCCTGGTACCACCTGAGCACACAGGGGCAGCATGTGATGAGGCAGGGTCACATTGAGGGTGAAGTGGAAAAGGGAGCCACGCTCTGTTACCAGAGTCAAGTCTCTGATCACCCACGAAGACGTGAAGTCTGGAGTAAATCTAGAGAGATACAGAGAAAACGATTGAGATGGGGAAAAACTAAACATAAACAAAGAAAAAAAAAACATTGAGAAAAAAAGATGATACACGGTGTGATAGAGCACAAGCTCAAGATATTTATATATATTTTTTCTACGGTATAAAATACATCAGTAATACCTTCTAAAAAAGCTTTTTAAAGATGAACTGAACTGAAATTTGAGAAAAGGTGATATAACAGATGTATTTTATTTATTCTCATTGGTACAATTTTTAAAATGGCAGAATTTGTTAAAAGGGATAAAATGGTACATTGAAAGTGTTGTTTTTGTTACACGGGCGCCGCCATGTTGGATTTCAACATTCGACTACGTCACTGGCATGGTAAGCCACTCCGTTGCCTACCCGCACCAGCAGAACAGCCGTAGCTTGTAAACAATCTGAGGCTCGCTGACATGGCTGAGGAAACAGATTTTTTAGCGACACACTATTTAGAGATGCGTACTTTCGCCAATGAGTACATGAAACGTCTGACAATGCATGACATTTTTTATTTACACAAGTTACAAGTTCAACGCATCACGTTAACGTTAATCGAATCCTTGATATTCGGGTGAGGGGGAAAAGATCCCTGATGTATAGTTCACGGTAAAGGATGGGATTCTCCTTCCTAAATGCACCCTCGCCCATAGAGTGAACTGCCAGTACGCTGTTAATCTAAACAATCTGAGAAAAGTGTAACAAGTTAGCCCAGCCTAGTCGCCTATTCGTAAAATACCCTGCTACTGATGGGGCGCTCGCGTCTCAGCTCGGACATCCATTAGAGACAGCATAGCCTCCTTCAACACGTTTCTCTCACCGAACAGCATCCGAAATGAACGGTGCATGGTGATGCATTTTTCGCCGATCAATAAATGTCCATGTTGACCTCTCTGCAACTGATCGTCTCCGTGCAGTGTCTATGCTCCACAGCGCTCGCGCCCGCAGTCACTTTCCTCCAATCGATCCTGTACTGCAAGTGAAGCCTGAAACTGATCGTCCTCCATGTGGTGGTAGTCAGACACTACCGGCATGTCCCTAACGGGCTCAAATGCGTAATCCATGCCGTTAAAAGTGCTCATTTTCGTCTGTGTATACAGGACCTACAGCTGTTGTCTATGGCGCTCCGCGGGTCCTACCATGCCAGTGACGTCATCGGAACTGCCAGCGCTAACAAGCGCAATTTTGCGTTGCTTAAAGGTGCCATCTGTAAAAATTGAGGTTAAAATATCCCAAAAATGAGCAACACGCATCAAAAGATTGAGAAGAAATAAGGTTGATGATGTCATTAAAAAACTGACAAGTTATAGTGCTGCCGAGATATTAACCTGAATTAGCATGCTAAATTACTAGCCCCAGCCCGTTAGGTGTCGTAATACCAGTTTCGACCATGGGAGGCGGTATGCGGGCGGGCAACGTTACCACCAGCCAAACTGCAGTACACGAGTAAGTCGCGCTCGCGCCAGCTTGTGTGTACTTGAACCTGACGTCAGTCGTGTGGAAAATACAGCCCACTACTACATTTCAGTTCAGGGAAGAGTTAAAAAAAAATGATTGGTCGATATTATGCATGAGGAATACATTTTGGTAAGTTGTAGCATACTGTATCTTTCAACAGTGTTCGTGTTCTTTTACCATTAGCTAATAGAGATGATCGGTTCACGTGCGCTAGGGATCTGTCGTGTAAAGTGCCAATACTGTATTTATTGTTTGAATTGCGTAATAAAATGAACAGAATCTGAGAGCTGACATCGGTCTCCGTGTCCTTTTCTGTGCATGACAAAACTGATGTGTGGCGTGAAAGTGTGTGAAAAGTGTTGTGAGAGTTGGCAGCTCTGAAAGACGCTAGCTTGGTCCACATCAGGTAATGCTGTCTGTCAAATTAATTCAAACTAATGATAAAAATGTAATATGAACAAATCGAATATCATAAAACTAGAAATAATAGCCTGGGCTTTAATTTTCCCATATCGTCGAAATGCACCGACTTGTCTATGAGACGGCCCTTATAATTTAGTATTGAGATGTTGTTCATTAAGTCTCTAATCTCTGAAAATCTCCAAATGCTCCACGTGAAACTGCGGTCTTCCAACCTTTTACTATCGCGTCAATTGATTTGATTAATATGCACGAGGGAGACAGAGCAACACAGTACTCGCCCATATTGTTTGAAGACATGAGAGAGCGCGTGGCCGTGGAGGTATTTCTGGAGGTATACTGCCCCCATCTGGTATGGAACATGTTGTATGATTTGATTTAAAATCCCATTTGGCACCTTTAAAAAAGCTATATTAATATATATATTTTAAAAATGTTTAGTGTAATTTACTTTTAATTGTCATAAACAACACGTTTTTAACGTCGATATTTTTCAGTTCAGTTCATCTTTAAAGCTTTCACTTGTCGTGTAAAAGGCTGCTAACAAGAGGCTATATGGGACTACAGAGGTTGTCTCATCTACTCACTAGTCCACATTCACAGTCGTGCTGATAATCACACTGTTGCAAACTCAATCTTTCAGCGAAAATATTTTTAAACAAAAACAGTTGTCGAAAGCTTAGTGGTGACGCTGAAGTCACATGGTACAGCCTACATTTAGCTTTTGACTTCAGCCAATTGTATTTACGTGTCAAAAATCATAAAATTTGTTCATTTGTGAAGATTATCATGATAAATGTTTTAGAATCATAAGATTTTGTTAGTCACAGACCTTATTAGGCTAACTTCCGGGTTGGGATTAGAGGGATAGTTTTTTTAATAATGAAATTTCTGTCATCATTTACTCACCCTCAAGTTGTTTAAAACCTGACTTTCTTTCCTCTGTGGAACATAAAAGATGATATCAGGAATGCTGATAACCAAATAGTTTCAGTTTCCATTGACTTCCATTGTATGGACAAAAAATAGAATGAAATTCAATGTGAACGGAAACTGTTTGGTTACCGAAATGCAGGTTTTTGGGTGACATGAGGGTGAGGATATCATGACAGAATTTTGATATAGGCAATAGGAGCAGTAATTAGCATGAAAAGGGGAACCTAATGGTTTTAAGTAGTCTCTTATCAGTCAGGTACTTGGGGTCTAAATCATAAATTTCCATTCAATTCTTCACTGTGACCCTTCCCAGTTTAGTCTAACACATGGCATGGGTGTCGGAACCATTGACAAGACCCACCCACTTTTTAAGACAAATGATATTGGACCCACTCACTTTTACATCTCTAATTCATCGCACATGTCAAATTCAAATCAAGTCAAATCCATTTCACTTGAGGAATACCACATTTGATGAAAATAACCGCCCGTTGTATGCTTCTGTCTACTTTAGGTTAACTACTTCTGTTAACTTTAGGTTACTGTCCTAAAGTTATTTGTAAAGCAGATTTCATTTCATCTCGAAAAATGTTCAAGGACCGGCACAAGAATTGCACTCTGTTTAGAACACTGATACAGAAAGTTGCACATTCTTACGCAATGGTGATTTCTGAGGATGAGTTGTTATCCACTCTGAAGCCTCTGCAGTGCTGCACCTCAAAACCGTAACCCTGACATTTATATCCATTAATGTTCATGGATACTACAGTCAACGGCAACTCGCCAGCATTCTCCACTTTAAAGCTTTTCTGGATGGCAAACAAGGGCTTACTTGATCGTAAACCTGTGAAAAGACAAGAAAGAGAATAAAAATGCAGTTAATGCATTTTGTATCATTGTTTGCTCTTTCGTTATTATTTATTAACCCTTTCATGCATGGATTATGATAAACTCAGTCAGGATTTTTTTCCTATGTGTTTTTAATGCTCTTAGGGCATGAAAAACAAGATTCACTTTATTTATTTTTATCAAACCATGTGAAAACTATAAAATAAATAAAAAAAAAAAAAAACTTTTTTAATAGCTGTCCAGTGTAGTGAACTCTATATATACACTTTCTACTTTCAATTGTGCATTGACTTTTGGTTACAGTAGCCATGATTTTGTTTAATAATTTATGGCCATGTATAACCTCATAATATAGTAGCGTTTAAATTTTTACAGGCTTTCAAGCTGAACATGACCCGATGTGTGTATATATATATATGAACACATATAACCTTATGATATGTGGTTCTGCAAGTAATTCACATTAAAGTCATTAACCAGTTAATGTGGTTAAACAAATCCTATGTACATGGGGTTAAAAAACAAAAAAACTAAAACGTTTTTATGTGGATAGAATAAAAACAGTGTTCTGCTTTTTGTCAAATCAAAAAAAAAATAAATAAACATGATGTGAATTTTGCATTCTCTCTGAAGTTAATTGTGAAACATGTCCGAAAATTAACTAAGTAATAAAAATGAAGTAATTTATATAAAAAAACCAAATATTCTCAGTGTATGCAATCTGTAGGAAAAGAGAGAGATATCAGTCTTTTTCCTTTCAGCTAATTATAACATATGGCATGTTAATGAGACCACGCCCACGGAACAAACGCAAATGTTGAGGCAAGCCATGAAAACGCCTACATCAGCTGGATAAAACATCCAGTTTAATAAGAATTAAAACTGTACATTAAAAACTAATTATTATTGTTAATATTTAGGTCAAAGGCTGACAAAAAAGTTTGCGAATATCTGGGTAATTCAGAGTACCCACATTTATAAAAAAAAAAAAAAAAAAAAAAAAAAAAAAAAAAATCAAGAGAACAATTCATTTGTAAACAATCACTACTTTAACCAGCGCTAGAGTACTTTTCACCAAACTCTGATAAAAGGACACGGCAGAAGTGGCTCAGCTGTGTCTCTCACCATCTCTGCACTCCATGAGAGTAGACTGGGGAACGTTGAAGCGCAGTGAGGCTGCAGGCCCGGGAAGCTTCCCTCCCACCCTCAGGAGCTCCTTTGCCCCAAATCCTTTAACCAGAACCATGTCAAACACAGTCAGGTTGTTCCTGTTAACAGATAAAGCCACAATTACTGTATGATAACATCTAGCAAAAATACTCAAAGATGAGTCAAAATGATTAATGATAATATGTATTTTATTTGATTTGATTTTAGATTTTTAGAATGCCCATAAGCTGTACTTTAAAACATTCACATTGGTTTGAACACAAATGGCAGACAGGCTGAAGCCTGCATCCTCCAGAGGGCGATTTCGTCACTAATAAGGCTGCTTCATTAAAAGTAAACTGACGAGTCTGACTACAATCTAAAATCATAAAGAAATTTCAATAATTTACGTTTCAATAGGAACGGTCACGCTCAGTCCATTTTATAAACATGAAATCAAAATATATAAGTTCTACATTTAAAATATACTTTTCAGATATAAGAAATTATGAAGTATGCGACCAACAAATGCGAGGTGGCGCTTATGGAACACAAGAAATAGAGATGTTTCCCTGGTAACGGCTGTACACAAACTTAAGCAGCACTGGGATAAAATAAACATTTAAAAAAATACTAATTTACATGGAGGTAAATTAAAAAGAAAATGACTTCGAAACTTTTCAAACGAATGCGACTAGTAAATGTGACCATGCTGTGGCAGGGCAGGGCAGGGCTGAGAGACACCAGTAACCCTTGAGTCCCACAGAGGAGCTCCGGAAGTATAAACGGAGGAGTGATGACAGAAAGATGAGAGATTCAGGCCTGGGACTTAATGCTGTGGTTTCGGTTTAGTATATGCGGCAGTCATCCGTTAAGGGAAGACGCTGTATGTTTTTTTTTGTGGTGTTTGTTTATTTTGTGATTTAAGTTTGACATTAAACATTTGCCAGTTCCCGCCGCCTCCTTCCCTTAGCCTTTAACTTCATTACGCACACATTAAGCCAAAGCATGATCTAAGTGCCAAATAAATGAGGATCATTCACAGTGAAACCAAGTGTTTTTTTCCTGATTATTCCAAGCATGGAAAACACAATTTTAAAAATTTCGAAACTATTTTCCATAAGAGGATTTGATATAAGTAAGCTGATCAGTCATACAAATCCCTCAGTTAAAACTCATTTAGGGCAGAGCAGTACCTGATCAGGAGCAGTGATGTAACAGGCTTGTGTTCTGTGGGTTGGTACGCCACAGAAACCGTCCTCGACTCCCACGGCTGAAGCAGGAATCTAAGTATACTGCCTCGCTCACTATCCTGTTGGCAAAAATATGAGTACACTATAACCAGAGTTACCACAAGACACATTTACTATCCAATGTACACTTAATAATGCTGTTCAAAGATCATGACCTCACCTTATGGTTTGTTGCCAACAGCAGAAACTCTGTTGTAGTGATATTCACGGACAGCGGGCTAATATTAAACCTAGAACATTTACATACATGATGTAATTTCTGCTCTAACAGTGTTGTTATTGATAATATAACAAAACTTAAACCTAAAAAAATATTGTTGTCAATTGAAGTAAAACTGAAATAAAACTAACTAAACTAGCTAAAGTAGCTAAAACAGCACTGTTTATGACTGCTTATTAACCTTGTGCATAAATACCATAAATACCATTATAACTAAGGTTTCTGACAGAACCAGAGGAGTTTGTGTTAACAGTAAATACCATTTGGTCAGGATGTCGAGGGCTTCAAGCGGAACAGGGTATGAGGAGAGGGTTCGGATCTCCACAGAAATAACTGAACCCGTAGGGTTTTTCAGTGTGAAATTCTTCACCTGAAATGAAAAGTACAATATATTTTTGATCCAAATAATAGTCTTATTAAAATCTAAGTCATTATTTAAAAAATAATAACACAATGCTAATAATTCCATGTCAAAAATTGATTGCCATTTGAAGATTCTCAGAAAAAAAAAGAGGGTAAAGTTCAGATCAAAAGATCATTATCAGTGATTTGCATACCTTACTATCATTGACCGGTGTGGCCCCAAAGTCCAGGGGTGAAGAGTGGTCTGCAGGAAGCCTGGGCCACCTGAACAAAACGCACACAGAAAACAGAAAGATAAATATTTACATCATAAAACAGTATGTGCATTTGCAATAAATGCATACATGTTTAAAACTCCCACAAAATGAGTAGTTTAAATAGCATCCAAAATGAATATACGAAGAGTTCAGATGCAAAAGCCTCTAAGTGCCATAAGAAATTTTCTTCTAGAATGATAATTTTTATCAAGCTTGTATATTTAAGTTCAGTGATTTCACTTAAATGACAATGATAATTACCTATTAATTGTTATTTAAGTGAAATTACTGAACTTAAATATACAAGTTTGATAAAAATCATCATTAAAGAAGAAAATTTCAAATGGCATTTAGAGGCTTTTGCATCTGAACTCTTCATACAGTATTTGAATCCACAGGGGGGTCTATACTGTATATTTGTGCACATACTGCACATTTACCTGCAAGAGAGCTCTTTGCTACAGTGCCAGCGACCACAGAGTGCAGAAGCCAGGCTGCTGTCCACTCTCCAGAGAGATGAGGAGGATTCTGGGAGAAGGGATTGCTGCCACTCCAAACGGCCTGCACAGGAGAACATCACAAAGTTTTTGACTGAGCAACTCCATACACACAAGACATGCACAAACTAATACGCTACAATCATTTCAATCCATTTATAAGACAAGGTTACTACAAGTGACTATACAGTAGTCTAGAATAGTCATTGGTTCTCAACCAGCAAACTTCTAAGAGGGCCTCAAGACTTACATTTATTTATTTGTTTATTTTACAATAAAGCAAGAAAAAAACAACCATTAAAATAAGCTAAAAATCTAAATATTTCTTACTTAAATTAACCACCTCAACTGTATGATTCCTTTTCCCACAGTCAAGGAAAACCTATATATATATATATGAAGTGGCCTAATTGTTTATTAATTCTATGGGCACTTTATAATGAAAAAACATTTTACTATTTATGCAAATCTCTAAAATAGTTTATCAGGAAAAAATTGCGAGTACAAAATATTGAACAAAAATCTTTATCCTTAATCCTAAAGGTCCTTTCACACTGGACGCGATTTTGACACACGAATAATTTGCGCGATGGTTTTATTTTTTGATCAGCTGTTGTATAATGAGTGGTTCCACACTAAACGCAAATGTGCTGCGGCGAAAAAACCACTTTTATTTATTTCGCTTCGATGTCGATTTTTTTGTACTTTTGAGGCGAAAGAAAAGGCTTCAGCCAATCATATACAAGGAAACAAAGGTGATGTGACCGCAACAATGACGGATCTTCTGATTGCTTGTGTGTCGAGTCGTCTGTGAATGAAAATCTGAAACAAGGACTGGGTGGGACGTTATGCTCATTCGTTCGTATCGAGCCCAACCGGGTGTTCCCAACAAGGCTTCAGTTCATTTGAGCCTTCAATCTGTTTACTAAAAGTGTTTATTTGATTGCATGTAAACGTAGCCCCTGATGAATGGGACAGCCCACCTTAACTCTTTCCCCGCCAAACACGGAATTTTCCGGGTTTAATGAAAAAACGCATCTGCGCCAAACACGGAATTTTCCGGGTATCCGTGTTTTAGGTGGTATACGGTAAGGAAGACCCGCGCGCATGTCCTGAATGAGTGCGCAACTTTTTGATCAGAGAAACAGATTGCAATCGTCTCAAACAGTGGAGTAGTGAGAATGTATCAGACAGACAATGCAGAGGTATATGGCTGAAGTACTGGAGGTTAATGGACTCGGAGTCCGATCACTCTTTATTTGATAATTCTGAATCTGATCGGGACGAAGTAGTCAGTGAGAGAGATGCACATGTTGTCACAGAAAGTTCTAGCCATGGACGTGCCGCAGATAGATCGTATAATATTATGACACTATAATATGTATGTGTGTGTGCAGGCATTTATGTGTGGCTGTCTAAATATGAAGGTGTAATTGTCAAATTATTTCTCTCTTTGTGCACATTTACCACATTGTAATATGTATTTGTGTGTGTGTGTGTGTGTGTGTGTGTGTCTAGGCCTGTTTATTGTAATTCCAATTATTCATTATTCACAGGTAGAACACAGAGAGGCAGAGGCAGAAGTTTTATTGCAAAAGTTACATTTCCCTTACATCCTGGGAAATTTGATATATTTTACATTTATTTTATGTTTTTAATTTATTTTGGAAAGTTTTATATATGAAGGAAACAACATCTGAATGTATTCTGCTTTTAAATGCACTTGTTTGATAAAAATACCTTTTTCTCAGTTTTTTGTCCAAAATGTTGTGTTTTTGACAAAACCTACCTCTGTTCAAGAGGCAATAAAAAAAGAACAGATGAAGATAAAATAAAAACGTTTTTTTTGCCTAAAAGCAGAGGCTCAGATCTTTATTTTTCTATATATCATCTTCATATATTAATGGAAGAAAATATTCAGGGGGGCATTCAAATTTAGCGAAAATCGTCAAAAACCCTGGCGGTGGCTGGCAACTTTTTTTTAAAACGCTGGCGGGGAAAGAGTTAAGCAGACTGCCATACGCTTCATACTCTCTGTTCTTAAAGATTGGGTGCACCCAAAACCTTCTTTTCTGCTTTTAAATAAAATGAAAAGCTTGTCTTCACTGGATGATCATTTATTGTTTTGTCTGCATCCTTTTATTTAATCCTCCTCTAAATTACAATTCTACAATAAAAAAAAAATGTAATAAGAAAACATAGAAAATGCGCAACACAGACGTTACTGGAGCAATCAAAAACAAACAAACAAACTCTTCGTGGAGAGGGTGTTTGCTTTGATGAATGCTGCGTGGAAAGGAACCGCGCAACTGTGGACCTCTTTTAAAAAGAAAACTTGTGAAAGTGAGCTACACCTGCCAGTAGTTACTGACATATGTTCATAATTAATGAGAAGGCCCTATCAAAGCTGCCAGATCAGACAAACAATATAAATTCAAGATGCACTGATCGAATCCGGTAAGAACGCATTCATCTTTAATCTTTCCTAAAGGCGGGCATACACTGTGCGATGTCTGTGCGATTTCAGCAAGGTACCAACTCACACTCAACGAGTAAATCGCATGCGATGCAAAGCCAAAGTTCAGGATTTATGTGCTCACACTGTACGGTCCGATCGTCGAGCTGCGACTTCACTGCTCACACTATACGTGTAATATCTGCGATTAACCCTCTGGATTGCGCCTATTTACGTGTATGTATCCAGAGATATTGTGAAAACAAGCATCTGCTATCAATATCAAGATGATTTAGGATTTTCAATTTATGCATTTAATTATTATTAGTAGGCTATTATTGTATTATCATTATTAGGGGAGGCCTATAGGCCAATTTTATTATTAAATTGATCCGCTATTATAATTAATTTGCCACGCAATTATTTTCACAGCACATAACCAACATGCTGCTAGGATAATAAAATATTACATAATCTTACTCCTCATTAAAAATTGTCTAAAACATTTAGGTCGATTACAATGAATTATAGGCATATACAATAACTATTAACAGTTTATAATATGTCCGAACATTGCCATAATTTATCATCAATGAAAAGAGGCGTTACATCGCAGGTGGCTTGGAAGACGTGGATAATATTATCCATTTTGCAACACGAACTGGAGGTAAGCAACAGAAATTTGTAGCTAGTTTGAACTACAGAACCTAAAGATCTCCCTCTTTTCGTTTTTATTTTAATTTTATTTTTGCTGCAGATGAAATGGTTAAACTTCTGTTTCGCGCAGGTGCAGTGAGGGAAAAAACACTGAGTTTAGGGCAATCGGTTCGTAGCTTTGCTTCAACTGTGCGATATAGTCACGAGGAGCGACCAAAATTTCTGACATGCCAGAAATTCATCCGACCATCCGATTGTCGATCGTGAGAGGTTAATCGCCTCTCGTTTCTCCCTGTACACTGCACGAACACTGCACGACAAACGACGCACGACAAAGCTGAAAATCGGTCCGACACGAAAAAGAGTCGCATGAGTCAGAATTCGGCTCAAAATCGGACGAAAATCGCACAGTGTATGCCTGCCTTAATGGATTTATGTGCTTATTTGTAAATGTGCTTTTTAGCGATTGGGATTTGTTATATATATATATATATATATATAAAGCCTATTAACAATTTAAAGCATCATGTTAACATCACTGCAAAAAGACATCTAATATAAAATCTATATTTATTCACCTAGTGGGCTATAATAATAAGTATATAGAATGTTTTCTCCTTAGTGTCCCATAAAATCAGGTCTGCTTTGGCAAAAGCATCGTAAATGACGCCTTGGGATGAGAATGCGTTGAACAGCCTGGTGTTCACCCTCGGCACGAATGTTTTGGAATGTTGAAGCTCTGAACGTCGCAAATTCGCGTCGCGGCTGATGTGAATGGTTTTGACGTGAACTATTCTCACGCAAACTATTCGCTTTTTCGTTTCCCGTCCGGTGTGAAAGGGCCTTAATCAAGTAAATCATGATCAGCTGGAAGAGTCGCTGGGTAAAAACCATGGAAACATTCAGCTGCTAAAAGTTGTGGAATAGTGAAATATTCTTTTTTTATTTTTCTCTCACCTGCTCGGGACATATGAAGAGGACAGAGCTGTTCACACTCCTCAGCAGTCTCAAACATAACATCTCCCTGCTGACGAAAGGAAGTGATCAATTCAGGCAAAAGGGAGCAAGGTTTGACAAAAGAAATACAGTATATGACCCCAAGTAATATTATTTAGCAAAACATTAGTTCTCTTTTCAAAACCCTCGTCAGTTTTCTGTCAACACAACAAGAACCTGATCACTCATTTGGAAGCATATAAATGTTTATATAAAGGGATACTTTACCCAAAAATAATTAATCACTAATTACTTTTAATGACAGAAATTTCAATACGTTTCACCTTTCATTTATCATTGGAACACAAATGAAGATGCTTTTGATGAAATCTGAGACCTTTCCATCACCCCCAACCCCCGACAGCTACGTAACTTGAAGCTTTAAAGTTTCAAAAAGTTCATAAAAAGATTGTTAAACTAATCCAAATGAATTGAGCAGTTTAGTCCAAATTTTCTGGAGACACAAACACTTTATAAGATGAACAGATTGAATTTAGGCTTTTATTTACATATAAAACAGAACAGATGTGGTCAACAGAAGCTCAAGCATGTTTGCTTGACTTGCGAAAACCAATGAGGTTCAATCTCAGGTTACACGGCATGTTTGAGCTTCCGCAAGAACCAATGAGGTTTGTTCCCGTGTGTCAAGCTTCAGTTGAGCTTCTGTTTATGTTCACTGATCAATATTTATATGTGAATAAAAGCTGATATTAAATCTGTTCATCATATAAACCATTCAAGAAAAAAAGAAGAAAAGTTGGGTTGGGTTAGTTTTATGATCTCACTTTATGAACTTTGAGCTGTCAAAGGAGGGACAGTAAGCTCTCAGATTTCATCAAAAAGATCTGAACGAAAGTCTTTTTGGGTTTGGAACGAAATGAGGGCAAGAATTTTCATTTTTGGGTGAACTATCCCCTTAAATGTATGTTAATGCTGATGTAGTCCAGCTTTACCTTTAAGGCAGAAGAATCTGTCTGGAGGTGAAGCTCCAGTGGGATCCCCACACTGGTTGTCAGAGAAATTGTGGTTCTGAGGTTGATGGGTAAAGATTTGCGCAGCAGCTGAAGAGACAGAAGCTTCCTGCTACCAGGGAACACTTCCATGGACTTTGTCAAATTTACAATCTATAAGATGGGAAAATGTACACCATCATTTAACTGCAGTTAACTTTTTGACAAATATCCTATTTTTGTGAGCTTGATTTCTGTGTAATTCAAATTAATGAGTCTAATATACCCTTTAATGTGTATTGTAAGCACTACGTTGACTAGTTGATAATAGCTCTGCCTCTAGTCGACATCTTTAGTCTTTTTTGACCAGTCTTGGATCACATGGTCAGTTGTACAAGGCAGGAGAAAAAAAAAGCCTTTGTCCACAAACACTGTCCTACATGACACTAGCTTTGAATAAAAACCCTCTAAAACCAAATATAAATGGAAGTGAATATAACGTTAACAGAGTCATTGACGCACCAACTTCTCATCCCTCTATTTCACAGCAGAATAAGCAGAACTTCCACAGTATAGTCTCAAAGGAATGTGGACACTGCACATTTAAGTCTGTGGTGTTCGGGTGAGCTTTACCTTAAAGAGTTTATGCTGGGAAAGAAAGATGTTAGTGATTCTGAAGGTGAAGGGGAATGGGTTGGACAGCCAGAGCTCGACATGCTTAGAGCCCCTCTCCTTCTGTCTGACTTGAACTAAAGAACTCAGCTCAGAATCCGACCATCTGAAACACACAGAGAGGAACAACTCCGTAACAAACGTGATTAAAGCTTCAGAAGAACTGCATCAAAAAGCATGAGCACAGCATTTATGCAGAGGTGAAGCAAGTACACTACCATTCAAAAGATTGGGGTCCGTATCCTTTTTTTTATGATGTTTTTGAAAGTAGTTTCTTATGTTCTCCATTGCTATAAAATCATTCGACATTAATAACGTGAAATATTATGATAATTTATAATATTGTCATTTATTAATTTGAATATATTTGAAAAAGTAACTCATTCGTGTATTTTCAGCATCATTACTCCAGTCTTCAGTGTCACATGATCCATCAGAAATCATTCTAATGTGCTGATTTGGTGCCAGGGTAACGTTTATATTTTTTTATCAATGTTAAAAACAGTTGCTGCTTAATATTTTTGTGGAAACTGAACCAAACAGCGTTCATTTAAAAAAGAAATCTTGGGAAATCTATATGGTCATTTTAAAAAAAAAAACAATTTAATGCATCCTTGCAGAATAAATGTATTAATTTACTTCAAAAAAAAAAAAAAAAATTTGAACGGTAGTGTACATATGCAATTATTAATGTTAACATCATTAAAACTTGCAAAACAATGCAGAGTTAGTTTTAGAATTTAAAAGAATTTTCAGTCTTGGCCAAAATGCATTTAATTTTATTTAACTTCAGATAATGCTAATAATTAAAGCATTAGGTTCATTTACAGTGAAACGCTGTTAATCTAGAAATCTTTACCTGTGTGTGCTTTCCAGCAGTGGATATAAATTCAGTGTTCTGTTTGCTAATATCTGCAGGCCGAACTGACTTTGACACCTTTTACTTTTTGCTGACGAAGAGCCTTAAAAAAGAAAAAGAAAAGAGAACCAAATAAATATGGCAAATATTAGAATACACATGAGAAATTTAGGCTGACAGTAAAGTACTGACGTCTACAGAAAAGTGAAGCCACTTGAGTGAAGTTAGAAGTGGAAGGCTGGAGAAGCAGTTCAGTGAGTTCTACGCTGCTGTCCGTCTTTGACAAGAGCTGGATCTCCTTAAAAAGACACAAGATGTTATGTTATAATTACATTATAAATGTTCTCTGATTATATGCTAAATTAATCACAAAGAATGCTATTCTCACCACACATACCTTCACAAAGAGCTTTTTAACCCCTGAGTTCAACATGAACACTTCTATTCTGGGATCTGCTGTGGATTAAACACATAGTTAAAAAATATACCTGTACATACTTGGAAAAGAGCATTTACAGTGGCAAAGCCACAAGGTGGTGCTGTGACACCAAGGAAAGTTATTTTTTGGGGCGGTGGTGACTAAGCAGCTGGGAAAAAAAAAAGTTTCAAATACAGTGTAACCCATGATCTAGGAAGTAATGGTTCCCTTCTTTCCCATCAGCTGTCCTTAAAGGACACACATTTTTTGCCAGGTCATTTTAACTTTTTGTTGAAAAAGCAGAGATGATATCTAGGACAAGGATACAGGTGATATAATTTTTGTCCCACATCTGTGGGATAAACAGAATAACTGACTCATTAGATTATTCAATTAATGAAAATTAATGCAGAAACATTGTGGCTAGATTACCACCTTGGAGTGTGCATTACTTTTCAATAATTCAATTGTTTGTTACTAAATACAACAGGGTGTAAACTAAAAATTATATTTCATCATCATTCACCAGTCCAGAAGAAAGAGTGTGAGTGGAAACGCAGTAAAATCCCGCAGATCTCACATGGGGAGCGCGAAAACACAATGGACACAGCGGCCACACCACTAAATGCCCATGGACACCGTAAATGTGTTTGGACACAATCCAATAATTTTTTATTTTATTGGCATGTTTGGAATGAGAATCATAACACAAGATAAAAAAAATGCTGATGGGTGTAAAAATAAAGTCAAATACCACTCGGATAAATAAACAAAAGGCAAAAATAAAGCCAGGGAAACACTAACAAAAAGTGCACCTTTGAATATCACTAGGGATGATTTGAGTCAAAAATCACTTTAAGAACGTGCAAAATGAACCTTTGGTCTAATAAAACATCGGTACCTAGTCAACCGTTCTCTGAGTACTGGGGGCATTTACTAAGGAAAAAGAAATCGCCTGTTTATACCACTAACAAGGCTCAAAATAGCCCTACACTAACACAGTAACATAATGCGGGTCCCTACATGCAAAACGAAGCACTGAGAACTTTGTAAGTGTACAGACCGCTTAATAATAAGATACTTTATAAATAAAGTTCACTTCGTGTATACAGACAGGAGCCATCTTAGAAAAACAGTCACGACAAGACAAACCACGAACGACGTGCTGAGTGATCTGAACGGTATGAAGTTCAGCGAACTTCTGAACTGTATGAAAAGTGTTCGGGGATTGACTTAGAGACTATTTTCTAAGATGGCTCCTGTCTGTATACATGAAGTGAACTGTCTTCATAAAATATCTGGTCCCACTTTATATTAAGTGGTTTTAAGTACTATGTAAAATGAGAACAATGTACTTGTTGTGCTCATGTTGTATTGTAAAACACTTCTGCTGCTATTGAGGTGTGATCTGGGTAAGGTTAGGGACAGGTGTGGTGGTATAGGTAGGTTTAAGGGTAGGTTAAAGTGTAAGGGATGGGTCAACTGTGTAATTACAGATGTAATTACATAAATTAGTTACAGCTGTATTTACATGCTGGTATTTTAAAAATTTAAGTACAATGTAAAAACATGTATGTACACAATAAGTCCATTGTATCAAATTATTTGTTTCAATGAAAGTACATAGTACTTAAAGACACTTCTTATTAAACGGTCTGTACACTTCACACAGAAAGATCTCGATGCTTCGTTTTGCATGTTTGGACCCTCATTATGTTACTGTGTGAGTGTGGGGCTATTTTGAGTTTTGTTAGTGGTATAAACTAGCGATTTCTTTTTACTTAGTAAATGCCCCCAGTACTAGCATTATACGCTAAACAGTTTTTAGAGATAAAACTTTTTACATTCGATTTTTCGTAAAAACAAATCTCAGAGAACGATTGACTAGGTACCGATGTTTTATTAGACCAAAGGTTGATTTTGCACCGGAGTTCTCCTTAAAGTATATGCAGCAGACAACAAATATGGGCTTAGAATCCGAAAGTGCAAAATCAAAAGAAAAATATTTAAATGGATAAAATAAAACTACAAATTGACTTACTGTCAGCATCTGGTGATGGGAGGACCAGCAGCACCACAATATTCTCCAGCACGTATGGCTTGAGTTTGTCCAGGTGAGTTGGCCTTTCCCCTCTTTCAGAAAGACTGATCTGAAGTGCAATTCTGCCCCCTTCAGATACTAAACACCAACCCTGTGAGGAAAGAGAGAGAAACGTAAAGGAATGCAAAGCGTTCCAACAAAAGACCTGCCCTGCCTGAACATTCAATCACCAGATAACTTGTAAACCAATGCAGCTAAAGCTGTCAGCTCACTACATGATTGCAGGTGTAAGCATCATTTAAAAGAATTGCATTTCAGTGTGCATGTTTTCTTTGAGTGGATTGCTGTTAACAGCCCCATTAACTCCCTACTGAAATGATAGTTGTATTCTGACATGTTGTTACAGGATTGCCTTCAAACTTACAAATGGGAAACTCATGATGATGTTGTTTCTGTGTACAATACAGTAATGATAAAAATATAAATACATTCATTCTGGCCTTGACACGACAACAACAACGATGATAGAGGATGTCAGGGTCGGACCTGAGCTTTTATTACTTTCTGGATATTTCGTTAACAAAGGAGATAGAAAGGTGATTTGCATTCAGTTCCTGATTCTTTCTTTGTTATGCACTGATGCTTAAACCCTCCACACACTAACAAGATATTGGGGACGATTTTGTACAGAGGTTTCCCCTTTTAACAATCCCAAGTAAAGTCCTGAATGGTTCTATATATTGTCTTATCAGATTTTAATGTTGTGTGAGGTGGGTTATGCTGGGCAAACACTACTAGATATTAAGGGGTGATTTTGTACTTCGACAATCCTACATAAAGTCCCAATTATCTTGATGGTTCAACAGATTATCTTATCAGATTTTCCTGTGGTGTGAGGTGTGTTAAGAGTGACTGAATTTGCTTGGAAGAAAGTCGGAGGAACATGCCGAATAGAAATCCTGTTATGTTGGGGGAACCTCAAGGGCAAACGCGCACATGCTCTGGAGATCATCACGTGAAACAAAACAACAGCCAATCAGAAAGCGAGCTGACCGAAAACACGCCTCCAGCTCACGGTGTAACATGTAAAATGCAAATTTTCTGTAAAAAACAGTCCACCATTTATTCTTGCCGGTCATCTGCCATGTAAAGTCATGTTTGATGCGAGAGATTTTGCAAATTTCCCAAATGAAAACATGGAATCATGAATGAAATCTGTAAGTGTGTGATATGCTTTCCTGGTCACACTGCGGCACTCCACACACTCGAGAAACAAAACGGTTAAATCTATAATTTCTTATCGCCATGTTAGTGGTCTCTCACATTTAAAAAATCTTTTAGTGTGGCCCAGCCTTTGGCAAAATAGTTTGTGAGCTCAACGTTTAATGTAACTTCAGCAGTACCTGAGCATGTGACCAAATGCACAAATCTTATTGGTTGGCCAGTTTACTTGGCAGAAATTATTACACCTCTCCATAAAAAAAAACTGTTGAATTGATGGCATTCAAATGAGGCCTTAAAACAGCTCCTGAAACTGGGATTACTTCACACATTAACAGTGAATTAAGCTTAATCCTTAGCTGAAAGATCAAGTTCAAATCACACAATGATCATATTACAATAAGAGTTACAGAATATTCCAATGGTTAATAAATGTAACATTTCATACCTGGGGCTGATTGTAGAACGTTTTTGGTAAACTGCAGTCAAGCAGCAGACCTAAAATTGTTATATTAGAAGCATCTTCCTGCAGGAGCAAAAGAAAAAGAACATTCAAATTCATCAACTCAGAATCACTTTTTTAGGGTAAGTTAAATCATCTAAAAAAATACGTCATTTACATTATTCAGCAGACACGTACATCTGTAGCAACTTGCAATACATTACAAAACACAAGCATAACTCCGTTGATACACAATGCATAATTTTTCATGTGGCAGTTTCAATAGTGATCAAAGAAAGTGTCTTTATTCTAAATAAGGTAGTGTGAATGCGTCTTCAGGGGCCAAGTGCAGCTTTTTTGTTCATTCTTCATGTGTTCCCTATTGAAGTTGTTAACTTTCACTTCCTCGACCTCTTCAGGCAACATGAATCATTTTATACATTCAGTCAATCAGTCAATGAGAAGGGCCCCTTTAAAAGACAGGTAGTTTTCTCTGCCTACCACATTGCCACTGAATATACATCCTAAAGATAGTGGTTTACCAAGTGACTATTCAACATATTTCCCATATTATTTAAATTTAAGGGATTTGAATGTGGGAGGTGTATGTGGCCGCATCTGTGAACAATGAACATTATCAAACCCATCACCTTTGTGCCCTTGGGCACCAAAAAATTTACATTTTATCATTTAATCCCCATCATGCCATACCAAACATGTATGACCATCACAAAAGATGATGCAGAATGTCCACACCATTCTTTTTTCTTTCTATCGCCTTAAAGGTATCGTAAAAGGTGACTAGGGGCTACTCAAGCTCCAAATATGACAGTAAAGCTCTAATAAAGCAAATAAAAGTAGTCAACTGCATATTATTTGCGTCTGTGCCATATTCTAAGTCTTATGATAGCTGAAAATCGGATTTGTGCAGTTTCATTTTCATTCCTGTGCTTTTTGCAACCTCATTCACCATTACTTAATGTATGGAAATAAGCTTCAACTTTTGTGTCACAAACAAAAGAAGAAAGGAATTCATATGAGTTTGGAAAGACGTGAGAGTACATAAATGATGACACAGCAAACTATATTTTAATACCAAGTAGCTTGAGGGGGCTTATCCCTGTAAAAAGTTCATGCCCATTTTACAAACACTACAGCAAGACACTGATTGTCCATGGTGAAAAATCATTGCACTGTAATGACAACGAAATGTCAGAGGAACCGGTTTAATTGAGCACCATTCTTCCAGGAGTGTCAAGATTTCAGCAGCTGTCTATAGGTGAAACATCCCCTACTGTTATCAAGTTTGTAAATTCAACACATACTAGAGTATCTTGAAATGTCAGCTGAAAGCACTTAGTTCAATTACAAGTGAACAGCAGGTTTACATCATCTCTCTCCTCAAGAATGTACTCAATCTGGTGGCAATCACTTATAGCTAATCAGGTAAAACCAGCGGCTTGAGTCGCACTACACATGATCACATTAAGCCTGAAATTAGTCGAGAGAAGTGTGTGGATACAGGTTTTGTTCCGAGTATCAAGAGTTTCAAGGTAAGAATGGAAGTCATTTACGTAGTCCCACCAGCTGGATCTCAAGAGGAATAGCCACTTATACTCAGTACAAGACACCGCAGTGGTTTTCATCCAAACATAGAGCTCAATTTAAATGTGACCGCTACAACAGAAGCAAGTCTATATTTAAACTTGTTTATGAGAGCTAAGACGCAACATAACACCTATATGAGATACAACAGACTACATCATCTACCTCTGTCAAATATTAACACTAAGAAGTGGTCTTAATGCAGGGATTTATTAAAGCATCTATAAATCAACCATAACTCCTGAGCACGAGTTAGTTCCACAAGTTTGGACAGTTCTGGGGTAAATGTATCTTTTGTTGTATAAAAGCTGGGTAAAGTATTATATTTAAAAAAAAAAAAAATTAAATGTACTTAATAAAAATAATAATAATTGCTCAACCTAACTCTTACATCATAATTATTCTTAACTTGAGCGCACATGTTTAGAACGCCATGCTCAAGATTCTGTAACATATTGTGAAATGTTTACATGCAAAAATAAGGGAAAAGAAGCACAGTGAAATGCAAAAATGTGTTCTGTGTGAATGGCCCCTAATGCAATCATTTTTGCTTTCTGTGCTGGCCATAAGAAAAACATCAACACAGGAGACTTTAGTCATGTGGGTTTGCTTGGGTTTCCATGTGTGATGACCTGAATGTGTGTGTTAATGGCTATGACAGTAATAGGAGACAGAAGCACTCAGCTGTCGCTAGACCTCATGTGTCATCCAGCACAAAAGGATAGTGAAAAGAAAAAAAGAACATCTGTGCATGCAAGCTCACAACAAAACAAACAGTATACCCGCATGCATGATGCTTACCTGAGTTTGTGTTAGATTAATGCTTTGTATGTGGGGAAATATCAGAATGTTATCTTTTCTTTGGACGTCCTTGACTGATCCCCCATGGACGCCAACCCCAAAAACCTAACAGAGAGAGAGAAAGAAAGAGAAAGCATATACATCATTTAAAAAAGTGTCATAAATAATTAAATAGAGTGTTCCTAAATAGTAGCGAGGCGGTTGTCGTAGCGAATACAACCCCAACAGGATGATAAGCAACCGCCTCACTCTATTATCCCGCTTATTACATGGTTACCTACCAAATAAATTAATAATTTGACACAAACTACTGATTTAAAAAGAAGTTTATTGATTTAAAGGAGCTTATCCTCCAGAGTGAACAGAACTAACGCTCTGTTTTTCATGGCAACGGTGTGTTATACTTACTAGAGGTCTGATCAAGAAATAACAGACAGCATTCTACATCAGAATTTAACCAAGCTATTATAATAAAATGAGTTAATGTTTTATGTGTGTGTGTATGTGAATGTATGCATGTATATATGAAGAGTTCAGATGCAAAAGCCTCTAAATGCCATTTGAAATTTTCTTCTTTAATGATGATTTTTGTCAAGCTTGTATATTTAAGTTCAGTAATTTCACTGAACTAACAATTAATAGGTAATTATCATTGCCATTTAAGTGAAATTACTGAACTTAAATATACAAGTTTGATAAAAATCATCATTAAAGAAGAAAATTTCAAATGGCATTTAGAGGCTTTTGCATCTGAACTCTTCATATATATATATATATATAAAGTTCCAAAAAAATAGGAACTACATTGCTATAATGTAAGAAATAGTTAGCCTATGAAAAATTAAGGTTTTGGAGTGAAACATTCCAGGATTTTTTTCCCCATCTAATGCAAATGAATGGTGCCCGACAAAGACCACTTTTGAAGGTCCAAAATCCATATTTAGGCAGCATCAAAGGGTTCCAAGGGTCTTTTCTAGCAAAACAGTCAGTCATTTTCAGAAAAAAACCTAAAAACTACAAATCCTCCAGCTATGCAAAGCCTGTTGTATGACCTCTCGTGTGAGTCAAGCACGTTTGCAAGAATTATTTGCAGTGGAGGAGGAGTACAGTCCAAAACAAATGGTGATTGCTGTATATTGGTATTTAGTTTCAATTTATTGTTTAAAATGATCAGTTTGTGTATCCAGGATGAAAACTCCCTCTTGTAAACAATCAGGCATTTCTGCCCCTACATCACACACAACCCTTCTTGTGACTTTTTTTTTTTTCCATTCTGAAAATGACGGACCGTTTTGCTAGTAGAAACTTATTTGACGTCTGGGGTTTTGTGGAGCCCTTTGAAGGTGCCTATTTATGGATTTTGGACCATCAAAAATTCACTCGGACCATCGAACACCATTCACTTGCATTAGATGAGAAATTTCTGGAATATTTTCCTCCTGAATTTCTCTTCAACTGAGGAAAGAAAGTCATATACATCTTGAATGGCCTTGGGGTAAGTAAATAATCAGGAAATTGTCTTTTTGGGGAAGAACTATCCCTTTAAAGTAATATGAGCAAATAAGTGGTTGGGTTGGATTGGATCGCATTCTTCCTAAAGTCTAACCGTTCCAGTGTTTGCTTGAAATCAGTGTGTTATGATGTGGATCAAATTCCCAATCAAATCAACTAGATGTGAAAACACCCTACAATGATACTAAAAATGATTTCTATTTGAAAATGCTGTTCTTTTGAACTTTCTACTCAAAGAACCCTATATATATATGTATGTATATATATATATATATATATATATATACATACATTCATAGTTTTTGTATATATATACATATATATACAAAAATACAGTGATATATATATCACTGTTTCTACAAAAATATTAATAAGACTGGAGTAATGGCTGTAAAATATTAAGTTTTGCCATCACAGGAATAAATTACATTTTAAAATGTATAGAAAATAGGAAGAATTTATTTAAAATTTTAATATTTTACAAAATCACTGTACTTTTGATCAAATAAATGCAGCCTTAACGAGTATGTGAGACTTCATTAAAAAAAAAATCCTACCAATCCTAAACTTTCAAACAGTAGAATAATAAAGATTTAGTAGGTGTTTCCAAACGTTTGACTAGTAGGGTAAGCTGCATTTCAATAGAATTTTGTTCATATAAAGATCACCAAAAATGTATTCATAATGAAAACATGACAACAGAAGACATTTGCATTGCATGCTACATGGTCTGAATACTATTGTATATGCCAGTGCAGATTGCTTTTGTGATTACAGTGAATTTGTTTGATGACAGTCACACAGTATCACACTTTTCTGGTTATTTCAAAGGAATCTTTACCATCAAGCTTCTTGCTTATCACTATGTATATAACACAAAACTGCCCTACATTTCCAGAATGATACAGTGTGACCTTAATTCAGTTTAATTCGACAAACATATCTTAAATATTTGAAAGATTATGTTAAGAGTAAGGCAGACAAAAAAGCAAACTGCACACTAATTGTCCCAGGTACAGCTTCGGTCTGTCATGTGATTTTCACCCAAAATTTCACCTGAAATGTGCTCTTTGGTTGAGGGAGAAAGAAAAACATTCTTAAGTGATCACTAAAGCTGTGGGTATACCATTTACAACTGTAATTTTATGCAAACGGCTACATTTGCACTGCTGCCAAGCTAAATAAACCAATTTAAAATATGAATATCTCCCATATGTGCGCCTTGGTAAAATGTGACGTGTATATGAAACCTCTAAAAAGTGCATAAAAGTGACCTTGTAATGCTAGTTCTATACAACTTGCCTGGTATGATATCACCCCATGGGTTGATGTGTTAATAAATAAAGAGATTTCTTCATTGCCCTCCACAGTGGGGAGGAAAATGATTTTAAAAAGTGCGCTCCCTCCGGGTGGAATTACCTGTAACACAAAAGAAAAATTTACAAGAAACTGAAATGACTAGAAACACTGGATTACATTTATACAGGACAATTTACGTAGAGGAAGAGGGAGAGGGAGGGCAGAGCAAATGTGAAATGGATGCATACTTACCCTTCTGTGGAAGGAAGGCATGTGAAAATGTCTGCTGGATGTAAACACAGAGAGCAAAGAGACTGGGAACTGTGGGCTGGGATTTCGGATATTCACGGTTTCAGCTCTTGGCAGTCCCACCGGCCTGCAGAATGACAGATCCACATGTTAAAGAGCCAAATACTGCAATTATAGACTCTCAAATCACTTTCATGTCACTGTGAAGAACACAACCATTGTGAAACAGAAAAGTTGATCTAAATGACTGATATGTCAGGGAACGTTATGCTTATATGAACATTCTTGCCTTAAAGCATTACTTTGTTCAAAAGGAGATCATTTATTTATGTCTTCAGACAGAAACGGCTGACTCTCACAGTGCACGCTTCCCTAAAGCATCACAATGAAAACGGCTCAGTATTACAACACTTGAGCAAAGATGAAAGTAAATGTCATTCAAAGCCACACACATCTATTAAAAGACTTCGAGTTGACCTTTCAAAGCCGATTCTAACCACAGAAAGCTTAGCAGCTCAGCTCTTTATGTTATGATGTTCCTGTGGTCAAAGGCCAGCTTCAAAAGAGGTGTGTGAATAACAGCATGAGAAACACGACGGCTAATAAAAAAATAAAAAAATCACTCCAGATCCTATCAGACCAGCCATGAATCTTCATACGTGGGATTGATAAACACGTTCATGTGTCTGACTAGGTACACTACATCAATAGTTACCAAAACTGCCAATGCACAGACTTGATAACTAATTTGTCAATCTAATCCATTATCAGGTTCTTTATTATCGGGTCTCTTGATAAACTGCACCATTTGCCATTATCAAGCAAGTAATTAACCGAACTAGTAACGTTTAAATTGCTGCTCTGCAGTTTCAGAGTGTATCCCATGCACACAAAATGGATAAGCTAACAAAGGGAAATACATGTATGTTAGCAGTATATGGTTTGACACACTTCACCATGACAAAAAATAAAAAATAAAAATACGTAGAAAGTAGAAATATGTCAAATTTGTTTTGCTAAAATATCGAGTGGCGGAAGAACAGTTGCTAAAGAACCGTACAACTGTTTTAATTGATCCCATGAGAAAATGATACCCTGAACAGAATATCAAGCTGGATTACACATATTTAATTACCCGAAACAGTATTTTTGGGTTTTAGTTAAGAGATCTTTTCTGTAAAAAAAAATTCACCAAAACATTTATTTTGGCTCTATTTATAATAACAAGTGCATTATTTGGAAATATAAATGGCATAAACAACAACTATGATAATGATGATGATGATGATAATAATAACTATTATTTTTAATGTACAATACTAAAATATGAATCAATTATTATTATTGTTTTTGTTGTATGATCATTTGAGTTATTATTGCATAAAAATAAGAATTAAAACAATAAAACTATTTACACTAACTCCACCCACCAATGTCTGGTTGGGCCAGCTAAACAAAACAAAACAAACAAAAAAACGGCTGTAATTTGTCATTTGCAGTGGCGTAGGGCATAAGGTGCAAAGTAGATACCTTCGCGTTTGAATCCACATATTGCCGAACTCGTTTTGCTCCCTTTTCCCATCGCATATCAGATTGGAAAAGTATTTTCCTTCATAAATATGTATATGTGAAAAGTGGAATTAAAGTGCCTACCGGTTATTTAAAGGAGTAGTTCACTTTTGAAAAAACTTTTGCTTATAATTTAATTTACTCACCCCCATGTCATCCAAGATGTTCATGTCTTTCTTTCTTCAGTCGAAAAGAAATTAAGGTTTTTGATGAAAACGTTCCAGGATATTTCTCCATATAATGGACTTCAGTGGGAACCAGACGGTTCAAGTTCCAAAAGAAACTTTAAGTACAAACTGCAAACTTGTTCAAAGGGCTTTAAACGATTCCAGACGATAAATAAGGGTCTTATCAAGCGAAACGATTGCTCGTTTTATAAATAATTAACAAAGTTTAAGTTTTATAAGCTCAAACGCTCACCTTGCTCTGTTCTGTAACGCACTCCTGTTTGAACTCGTTCATCAAAATGAACAAATCTTTTTCCGAGTCATTTGGTTCATTTGGCGAAAGAAACGAACGAATTGATTCGGAAAAAGATTTGTTCATTTTGTTGAACGAGTTCGAACAGGAGTCACGAACGTGCACCACAGAACAGAGCAAGGCGAGCACTTGATCTTATAAAACTTAAACTTTGTTATATTTTTTTTTATTAAATGAGCGATCGTTTCGCTTGATAAGACCCTTATTTATAGTCTGGAATCGTTTAAAGCCCTTTGAACAAGTTTGCAGTTTGTACTGAAAGTTTCTTTTGGAACTTGAACCGTCTGGTTCCAACTGAAGTTCATTATATGGAGAAAAATCCTGGAACGTTTTCATTAAAAACCTTAATTTCTTTTCGACTGAAGAAAGAAAGACACGGACATCTTGGATGACATGGGGGTGAGTAAATTATCAGCAAAGGTTTTTTGAAAAGTGAACTAATCCTTTAATAATAAAGTGTTCATCGGTAGGGTTAGGTGTATGCCTTATTGTCCTAATAAGGCATTTATTTAATACATATAATTATTTACACTCAGTATTTTATTATTGCATATTGTTTTATGTACTAAAATGCTGAGGTGCAAATAGTATCTAACTACTATTTACATTTGTTGAAAGGAAAGTACAGCTATTTTTACATTGTGCAAATAGCAATAGCTTCTATTTCGACTGTGTAAAATAATATATCGGCTAAGGAAATATGCTATTTTCACAATAGCCGCTGCCTAAAAAAAAAAGAAAGAAATGGATGTGCATATTGGTTATCAGTCATAAGAAAAAGAAGAATTGGGTAATAGTTTGCAACAAGTTACCAAAATTGAAAACCAATATAACTTATAATTATGTAACAATGGCTGAGAAATGCCATTCCAAGTCTAAGCTGTTGTCTCCCTGTGTGTCGTAATGGAAGCAGTGATGGGAGTATGAGGGGTGTGTGTGAGTGTGTTTAAGGTAGATAATAAGATGTAGATGGTGTTGCAGAAGCACTGATGACATTAGCAACCAGGCGAAACAACGGCATATTTGTTTTTCTCTCTCGCTCTCGTGTAGAAAGGTTATGCAGTAGTTGGTGTTGCATCATTGCAGGAAACAAGTATAGGGAACAAGGTGTAGACCTACCTGTGCATACATGTGCAAAGAAACAGTATTATTCAATACAACTCTGTGCATCTTAGCTGATGTCAAAATATGTGTACACAAATGTATTTGATATTTAAAAACAAAAGATAATGAGTGGCCAATGCCAAATGCAGCCAATTTTCGGGTTAATCTCACTATTCGGGTTTCTGAAAAATTAGGAATAACCCGTTTACATGCGTGAGCAGAGAGAGTTTCTCCTGTATACATGGAATTGCAATATCCCAATGTAAACAGCGACGCACGATTAGTGTCTAGACGTACGGACAACCTTAAGATGCAATATTATGCGTCATTTCCGATTCTTCTTCCTGTATCCAAAGACAACAACAGCAGCAGCACACGGATATGAATAGTTCGGGGCAGATAGCGATCGCCTTAGTTTGCGCTTTGATGCTGGTGGTAAGTAACATTACTGATAACATTACTCGCTCCAAAAGTATGCTGTGCTGTGTCTCGCCATGTTTACTTCCGGTATACTGCAGGCGGATTTTTGTATGCGACGAGATGTTTCTCTACTCAAAATACCAAGATTCCTTGCGAATAGAACATGCACAGAACACAAATCACTTTGGGGATATGCCGATACGCGTTTACATGACCAACAATTTGGGTTAGAAAAGGGGTACCCCAGGTATAATATCCCGGTTTTTAAAATCCGGGATATGAGCATATTCGGGTTTTTGCCAGTGTTTACATGGCCGTTCGCGACCGGGTTATTGCTAATATCCCGGTTTTGAACGGGTTATTGGCTGCATGTAAACATAGTAATTGGCCTTCAGGAATCCCAGCAGATAGCTAATTTCAGGCTGTAATGTTTGGATTAGGTTACTGATTAAATACTGATTTTTTTTTTTTTTTGGTTTAATAACCTTTCCATCTCTAGTCACTCGCATTTACAATGTTTGTTATGCCAGAGAATCATGAATCAAATGGATCCACTGTTAAAGATTTACAGCCCTACAAAATATATAAAGCTGTGAGGTTTTGCTAAATAATGAAGACATTGTAATGTATTTCTGGCCCTACTACCGTTTAAAGACCCAGTTAAGATTCCCCAACATCAAAAGTGTTTATTGTACCTTAGGCTGCATTTTGATAATGTATTAATCGATATAAAACTAAATTACTATGATATTAATACATAATATTAAAAGAACATGAAACTAGCTAAGAGGTGGAAATAGGAAGAATATACTGTATGAAATTTAACAGTTCCCACCAGTTACTAATTAGTGATTATATATAATATGATTACTTGTGTTACACATAGGATTTCAATTATAGTTCATATAAATCTGACATCTCATGTTATATTGGTTGTGCACTCCTTTCTCTGTTGCTCTTCTTAGGATTGATATGTATGCACATGTTCTAAGTATTTCAAGTTAAAAACCAATACAAACTTGTTAGGTCAAGTCATTAAGTCATTTCTTCATTAAAAATATAATCGTAAAACATTAGATATGTCCTGGCTAAATGAGACACCTTGAAAAGTCATAACAATTTATAATTCTTTGTATTTGGGGAAAAGTTACACATTTATTTTTCCTTCTATATGTGCCATGGCCAACACCTTTAGATTTTGTGTGTGTGTGTGTGTGTGTGTGTGTTTACTTCTATACTACATTTATGCCCTGATGAAAATTACATGCTTGGGACCCTCTTTTAAGCATTTAATATGCTTTAAATAATGCTTTGAAACAACAGAAATAATTTGAGGCAAAAACTAAAATTAGTATTTAGTATTAAATTGAATGTAAAGAAGCATTTTCATTAACAATTGACCTATGGCTAAGCCACGCCCCCTCCACTCACTCGGACAAACACGGGCGCTATGGCAGCCGTCACAGTAGGAGACATTTCACAGGAGGCAATTGGTGATTTTTGGAGACAGAAAAATTATATATCATCTTGAAGTCACCTAAAGGGCATTAACTATGCATTGGAGGGGTTATATTAATAAGTTTATTGTTGAGGAGGTCGATGAAAAGCTTCAGATCCAGGCAGAGATGTACAGTTCACAGTGTAAACATGATAACCTGCATATCGTTGCCATCACCGTTTGGTCAGGTGCTACAGTATTTACATGAATCATTCAGCACAACATTGTTAACATTTGTTATCTCTGTTATTTACAGATATACGTTAATGAAGCTAATTGACATGAAGTAAAATCTAGCTGGAAGCTAACGCTAAAGTTTTCTAATGTATGTCTAACCTTAGAGTAACGTTACGTTAGAGATTTTAAAGATAACGTTCAAATACGTTGTTGACTTAACTTAGATCAGATGTAGACATCCTTGTGTAATTTATCCGCGTTTAGTTGGTGTTGTGGTCTAGCCACCCCATAACTTTACCCAGAGCAGACACTTATCTCGGTTGAGATGTGGCTTGGGAAAGGGTAAAAAAAAAACCACACCATCGCCCAGCCTCTCAGGAACCTAGTGTCAGAGTTGCATGTACCCCATGCACACCGTCTGATTATTTTAAACTTAAAATAACAAGAAAAAACGAAAGGAAACTGACTAACTCCAATGCATTTCAATGGAAGTGGAAGCGGAGAATGTCCAAGTGTATTGGGTTAGCTGCGCACTGTGATTGGCTCATCGCGTTAGAGGACGTGGCTTAGCCATAGGCCAATTATCAATTTGATCTATTAGTTGTTGCAGATCTAATCACACACCAAGACAATTTTGCACACATGGCTGTGAAATCTGGCTTTTTGTTGTCCTAATAAAAAGGTAACAACCTCCAGTAATGCTTCCAACAAATGGGACAATCAGCATTGGAACCTCTACAACTTTCCAACTGTAGTTATTTCTTAAGGTCAAAATTAAATCAGTGCAGTAGACTCCAAACTCTGCCACTGTTCTTCCATCAGAAGAAAAGAAATTCCTGCCATATTTGGTCATCCTGTCTGCAGGGTTCAGCCACAAGCCAAGTTCAGCTTTAAAATAAGCAGACGTTAAAATACCATTTTGACTTAAATGGACAGCATTTGTGGCAAGTTGACTATTAATAAACAAAATAACTTTCAACCCTTCATTTTTAAATATAAAACTATGCAAGTTTTTTTTTTTTAACCTTTGTTTAACCAGGTAAGATAAGTTTAACAATTGACTTGCAATGGAAGTCTAGAAGGCAACAGCTACAAAATAAGTGAATGTCATATGGTTTTGAAAGTATAACCAATTTTAAAATTCTTAGTTACAGCAAATATTTTATATTACAATAAACATATTTTTTTGTAAATCTTTGTATTTTATAAAAACTGTTAAGTTATTTTTAACCCAAACCATGCCTTTTACAACGAGCCAAGGATAAATATGAATTAATTTTCTCCTGTGAAAAACATGATTGTTTTTCCCTGCCACCTTTTCACATCTGTAAAAGGTTGGAAATTGTTTGAATTTTAATGATTCTGATTCTGCTTATTGTTTCCCTAATAGAAATTCCAATAAGGTAAAATTGGAAGGTAGAAGAAGATTATCATGCACATTTATAGTAAAGGCCTCGTTATACTCATGGCAAAGTTCTTTTTTTTTTCAGGGTTAAAACAAAGTTTGAAATACATGACCAGTGAAATAATGTTATAGAACATCCAACGCCACCCACACTGCTGAGAGTGATGTTTAGATGAATAAGTAAATATGAAATATGTAAAACAGGCTTACAAACACTTACACAAGGAACTTTTGCCTATGGTTTAAAAATTCTATAACAACTAGCCTAACTAGGGTAGGGTCTCGTTTGAATTTTAACGATTCCGATCCTACTTATCGTTTCCGATTCTTATACATCCCAATAAGCTAAAAACAAAAAAACAAACAACAACAAAAAAAAAACTTAGATATCATTCACATTTATTTTAAATTTCAATTCCCAACCCTAAGCCTAACTAATATAAATTTCAAGCATTATTAAAGTAAACAAAAACAAATTAGCAAATCGCACAAATAAAATAAAATAATACTGCACTTAAAATAAAATATAGGCCTACATTACAAATATAGCTGCAAAAGTTATTCAATGAAGAAAATTCATTCTCCGGTGCTGCCACTTAGCTGATCAAACATATTATTATGCGTTTTCTTTGTCAAATGTTTACATTCACTTAAGACACAACCGACTGTGTTTATTAAAATATTTGGACATTTTTGTCCACATTTGTCCATTCAAGAGCAAAAAGACGCGAAAAAGTATGAGAGGCAGCTTTCTGTGCACACGTTTTGGATGTGCGCCTCACAGAAAACAGCATGGGTCTTTTTGCACTTGAATGGTTAAAAATTACAATAAAATGTATTGTTTTCTATGTGCATGCATTGGATGCCCACAACAATACTGACAAAAAACTTCCACATTTAAACATGAAGAAATTTTTTCCAAATATAAAAAAAACACACTGTTTCCACAGCTAATTTCCATCCCAGGGGAATGTTTAATTATTTGAGAAATACTTAAATTTGACAAAGACAAATAATTTATTATTTATATCATGTAACGTCATAATATATATATATATATATATATATATATTTGGGGTGTAACGGTTCACAAAATTCACGGTTCGGTTCGATACAATACACTTCGGTACGGTTCGGTAAGTTTCCAAAACAGCAAAAAGAAAGAAATGCCAGAGAAATTTCCTTGATTTAATTTTTTAAATTACACTTTTATTAAAACTATCATAAAGTATGATATTTTTTTTTTTAACTTTGAGCAATGATGGAGCTACTGTATACTTGACTTTTCTTAGGAGCTTATAAAACAAAACAGCTCCTTGCACAAAATGAAATGTAATATTGTAGTAGTTATAAACAAAGGTTTATTTTAGTTCAGATTAACATTTGAGGGCAGCAATTGTATTCAAAATGTCAAAATAAAACCGACGTGATGTTACTTGAAAACATTCTAGCCTACTATTCCTGCCAAACTTCAATGGTAACAGTTAGGGTTTATACAGTAAAACCATGGTGAATGTTGCTGATCTGTGGACACTGATTAGTTCATTCATGGCACAATGTTTGTTCCTGGTTTCCACGTCAGCGCTGTTTGATCCGTTAATAACGGAGAAATGTGAATGTTTCTCACTAGATCTCGCAGCGATGTTATTACTTCAGTGGCGAATTCCAATTTTTTTCTTTTTGATTTCGCTGTGTAGTAATAGCGCTGCTTGATTAAGATCGTCTCACGCTGCATTGGTCCAAACTGATAAACGGTCCGTCAACCACACAATAACGAGTAGCTCAGTTTCGTTCCGCTTACATTACATTTGCCATTTGATGTTGGGCAATGTTGTGGTCACACCAGCGTCTCTTACATTATGAGCGCACTTGCCACGCGCAACACATCTACAGTTCATTTGAAATAACAAAATTTTGCTATGCAGGAAAAATGGTCCAAAGAACCGTTCGGTGCAAAAATGCGTACCGAAAACAGAACCAAAAGCCTCGTACCGAACAGTTCAATACGAATACGTGTGTCGTTACACCCCTAATATATATATATATATATATATATATATATATACACACACACACACACACACACACACACACACACATATTCAATATATTATGGTATGGTTTGAAAAACGAAAATGTATTTTCCTGGTATTCCCATTAGCTGCCAACATTTTTATAAGCCTATGGACCAAGTGTATGCTGATATTTGTGAGTAAAATGTATGAAATATATAAAACTCTTACTGTGGGCCGAAGTCCAGTGTGGGCGGCTGAAACTGGAGCTGTCTCCCACTCTCCTGCACATAAAACGAGGAACTGAGAAGGAGAAAAGAAAGAAAGAAATGTGAATGCCATGCAGATTCATGCTTTTTACATGAATAGGTAAAATAACAGTATCAGAATAGTTGTATTTAATGCCATGTAAGCATCTGTGGCCATCTTCATGGCCAAAACTGAATAAAAAAAATACAATAGTTAGGCCTGCATATACAAATAAAAAACAATAAAACAGAAAAAAATGTTTTTTTTTGGTGACATTTTGAACAAAATCAAAACAATATGACTATGCAGCCCATGTACTGTAGTACTAAGCATTTTGTAACCAAGCATTTTAAATGTAACCAAGCATTTTAAACCTCAGATCATGCAGATCTCATGCAAAACCCTTTACTCAAATCAGTGTTAACTTATTCTGATGTTGTTTTTTGTACTTTTTCACACTATGTCATCGTTTCACATGCATGAATGTTAAAAAACCACAAACAGAGCATCGTGTGTTGGCAGTCTCAGGGAGTGATCTCATTCCTCCAGAGAAACACTTATACTTTATTTACAAGAGAATATTATGATTTAGTATGAACATTAGAGAAAAATGGAGAAAAACTAAATGAACATCCATCAGTTATTGGGTTGACACAAAACAGCACAAGCTCCAAAGTTAGCTATAATAAAACACCAGAGAAGTATAATGAAAAACACAACACAAGTGTGGCAAAAGGGTGACAGGAAGCTAAAAACAACAGGAAGCTAAAGTGGGCAGCAGGGCAAAGCAGACCAAATGATCAACACCTTTGTTTATACTCTCCTAATACTTAATAAATTGTACCATTTCTCTGAAAACCACTAATAATGCAGGTGAACAGGGCAAACAAAAAGAGCTATGGAATTGTTCCAAGAAGTTTTGCTGTTGAGTTGAGATGAATAAGCTGAACGAGTCTTGGTACTGAGTGATGATAAACATGTCCTTTTGTTTAGTAAAATGAAGAACTGAGTAAAAATGTATGATTAATTGTGATATCTATACTTAAAATTCCAAATCCTTTCTACTCCATGCTTAATTTCAAGGGTTGTGTAAAAAAAACAATACACAGGCCTACAAGTACTTTTTCAAAGATTTTAACAGCAGATGTCACTGTCTCAAACGTTCAAATATCATCATCATGATATCCAAATTTAGATGGTTTCTCCACTGCAGAATCTTTAGCACCATGACAAAAGAAATCACATTCATATTTAAGTTATGAATATAGGTGGTTCCTTTAATTAATCCTTCAAAAGGTCAAATTACACAAATCTAATCAAAACTATTTAAAAATCAAAATAATCAAAAGCTTTTGAATTGGTATTGAAGTTAAATGCTCATTGTATTTGTGTCTGTACAGGGTTGAAAAAAAGACATTATCTACATGGATTACCTTTCCTGAAAATACAATTAGCCAACTTAACGCCAAAAGCAATAGCTCTTCTTGAGGAACTGCACAAATATCCATCATAACCAGCTTTAAATAGTTATAGATTTACTCATTTTTTTTATTAATAAAATGACTGACCCCTTTTTTTTATCTAATTATTGTTTTTAATGTTCCAAAACTGGAGCTCTAGCGTGTTCCGGTGAGTGGAACAGACCATCTGTTGAGTCGTGGTGGAATCCTTCCACTCGACACTGTCAGTGGCTTGTCCAGGCTTTCAACAGCTGGGAACTCTGACATGAAGACACACATATCAGTAGCCTTCATAACCGATTACCAAAAGAAAGAGGAGAACTAGAGATATGAATTACTTCTGTACCAATTCCAGGAAAGAACTTATGAAACAAAACAACAATACTTTTATATAGCATCACAACCTCAGAGAACTTGTTTATAACTCTGAACAGCTTTCAAAGTTCTCCATAAAAGGCAAATGAACAAAGTAAATCAAACCTGGAAGAGCATCAAATGTAAACTGACTTCAAAAAAAAAAGAAAAAAAAAAAAAAAAGAGAAAAGTCACAGGTTCCTGGGCCTCATATACTCTGTCTGGACATTATCATACTAGTAAAACATGTTCACATTATTTACCTTCATGACAGTCATCTTAATCTACATACTGGGCTACACAGAATTCAAGTCGCTCAGACAAACATCACTGAGTGAGTGTATAAAAAGACACTGGGTATATCTGATACCTGATATCCAAAATTTCATCAGCCTGCTGCGTTATCAAATGGCAGCTGACGGGTGTTGAAAGCAGCAAAAGAACCCCCACAAAACATTGCATGATCCCGTCAAGAAATGTCAACAAAAACACAATCAAGTGTGTTTGACTTTCTCGAAGGCATAATGTTGTACCCTGAACATATTGCCTGGAGGTAAAAAAGAAACACTGAGCACTGTCTCACAGTATAAGAGTTTCTAGTGAGCTTATTTCTTCAGTTTTTTTTTTTTGTATGAAATTCTAGGAACTACAAAACGGTTATTATTCAGAACTGGTTTTATTACTTTAACAATACCAAGTACAACATTTTTCGGAAGCTGTTCTCGTACAATAAGACTTAAAAACAGAGTGCAACCAATGTAGTCTGAATCCTGAACAAATGACTTATATGAACTGGTTCTTTATAGTGAATTGAACATATACAACTAACAACTTTAATCTGTGTAGCTATTGACTAGTTTTTCATATGACAGCATGTGGTTTAAGAGGTCATTAACCGCATTTTTTAATTTTACAATGTACTTTGAGGTGAACAACTTAATGTTGTTCAGGTTTTAACATAACCAAAACCATCCTTAGAAGTAATAGGCTATTTTCCTGATTTTGACCTTTTGTAACATCCATTTTGACAGGAGAGCCGTATTTAATACTTGGAAGTAAACACCCACTGCTATGATTGGGTAACAGTTTTGCTTAAAGTAATTTTCAACTACCCTGCCATTACACGTGCAGAATTGTTTTTGAAAACTTCCTGTGTTCAAAAATATCTTGTTACATAGTTGAAACAACTGAAACATTTATGCATATTAAATACTTTTATATACAATGCATATTGGATACTTTATGCTCCATTCTAACCTCTTCTTTAGACAACATCTGCCCTCTCTCCTCCAGTTATCTGAGGTTCTTCGTGAACACCGGACTGAACTCAGGGCAGCGGAGAGGAAATGGCGCAAATCAAAAGACAGATCTAACCTTAGTAGGTATCAATCTCTGCTCTCTGCCTTTTCTACTGATGTTCGAACCGTAAAATCAACAAGATAAACAGCGCCTCTAACACACGTTCACTGTTCAAGACATTCAGCACTCTCCTCTGTCCACCTCCATCACCACCCACCTCCTCATTAACGGCTGATGATTTTGCTAACTTCTTCACTAACAAAACAACAACTATCAGCAGTCAATTCTCAGTTTCACACACACAGGAACCCAGACTATCCTCTCCCACAGCCAACAACCTTCTCTCTTCCTTCACTCCACTAACCAAGGAAGAAGTATCTAAACTTCTCCTCTCCAGTCATCCTACCACCTGCCCTTTAGACCTCAGCCCCTCACACCCTCTACAAGCAATCTCTCCCACACTTCTTTCAGCTCTCACAAGCATCAACTCATCCCTCCACACTGGCATTTTCCCTACAGTATTTAAGCAGGCTTGGGTACCTCCACTGCTTCAAAAAAAAACAAAAACAATGCTAAACATCACTTTTAGTGACTTACAGACCCGTCTATCTCCTACCATTCATTGCGAAAACACTTGAACGCGTTGCTTTCAACCAAGTATCATCTTTCCTATCTCTAAACAACCAGCTGGATTTCAACCAATCAGGCTTCAAGAAAAGGCACTTAACGGAGACTTGGAATCGGTCACCGAAGCCCAGATCGCAAAAGGTGCATCCAAATCATCAGTTCTCATCCTCCTGGATTTGTCTGCTGCCTTCAAGACTGTGAATCATCAGATCCTTCTGTCCATCCTCTCATCACTGGGCATCACAGATACTCCTCTCCACTGGTTTTAATCTTATCGCACAGGTAGGTCCTTCAGAGTCACATGGAGAGGTGAGGTATCCAAAGCACATCAACTGACCACAGGGGTTCCCCAGGGTTTTAGTTCTTGGACTGCTCCTCTTCTCCATTTACACCAAATCACTGGGACCCATCATATAGGCACATGGTTTCTCTTACCATTGCTATGCTGATGACACCCAGCTCTACCTCTCATTTCAACCAGATGATCCCACAGTAGCTGTACAGATCTCAAGCTGTCTGGCTGACATCTCAGCATGGATGAAGGAACGTCACCTGCAGCTCAACCTGGCTAAGACTGAGCTTCTCGTCCTCCCTGCCAATCCGTCTCTACAGCACGATTTCACTATCCAGATTGATTCTTCCTCAATCACCCCATCAAGGTCAGTCAGAAATCTTGGAGTAATCTTTGATGATCAGCTGACCTTCACAGACCACATTACAAAAACAGCTCGATCATGCAGGTTTGCAATGCACAACATCAGGAAGATCCGGTCTTTCCTAACTGAGCATGCAACACAACTTCTCGTCCAGGCCCTGGTCATTTATAGCTTGATTACCGCAATGCTCTTCTGGCTGGACTTCCATCATGTGCAACTAAACATCTACAAATGATGGTCTTCAACGAGCCCAAAAGGGGCCACGTCACTCCTCTGTTCATCTCTCTGCACTGGCTACCACTCGCTGCTAGCTTTAGTTCAAGGTGTTGACACTTGCTTACAGATTGACCACAGGATCAGCTCCCACCTACTTCCACTCACTACTACAAGTCTACATCCCAACCAGAAGCCTACGATCAGTCAATGAGCGACGGCTCGTGGTACCGTCCCAGCCTCAAAATCACTCTCAGAACATTCTCATTCACGGTACCATGCTGGTGGAATGATCTGCCCATCATCATCCGGAATGCAGAATCCCTGACAGGATTCAAAAGACAACTGAAAAGTCATCTTTTCTGTGAGCACTTCACATTAAAAAAGAAAAAAAAAATATTTCCTTTTCCTTTAAATCCTCGCTTATCTGGCTTATGCTGCTGCA